TTCACATTAAAATTAGTTAAAGGGCAGGTTAAACACATGCAAGTGTTGTGCAATAATGTTTTTCATAACTCAGTAGAATAAATTCTTTATAGTATGATGTTTTTGGATAAGATAGCTAACAATCCTTCTCAATACTTTAAATTTGAAGCAAAATGCAGGAAACAGCTTCTATTTATTCATGTAATCAGAGTTCCAATCTACTGATTAAACTAAGCAAATCAGCCAGAATTTTCCTTTACAATTGCACCATTTACATGTGTAAACAATACTAAAACTGTCTTGCTATAACTTTTCAGTTTGGAAAGAGTTTGTCCATTCAATGTGAACCAAAAGAAAACATTCATGTGCAACAACGTTTTGCCAGCACTGAGACTAAAGGACTTTTGAGTTGTTGTAAATTAAATTTTGATATCAAGCAAACACTTGATAACCACAGGATATACACCAGAGTCTTTTACGGAAGATTCTGGGAGTATTACATATGATTGAATCAAATTTGGAGATATTTTATCTACAGCCATGATCTGGATCCTTGAATATGATTTTTTTTTTAAAAACTAATTAGGAGTACCTGATTATAAAAGATGGAGAATTTCCTCAATTTCTAACAGGAACAGCGTTGTTATAAGGGGGATCCTGGTCGTCAGTGCTTTAGCAGACTGTAGAGTTCCAATAAAAATTCATGATTAGAAATTGGTGTGTACTTTTCAGGATAAAACAGGTGCAAAGCATAATTTCATAATATGGTAGCCTGTGCCCCATCTGAGCAAGCATTGGTCCTGATGCCAAATCAGTGGGACTATTTTTCAGCACCCCTTGAAATTGGAAGGCAATACCATTGCTAAATCCCCAACTACTAACATTCTGGGGGTTACAACTGACTTTAACTGGACCAGCAATATAAATACGGTGGCTACAAGAATGGTTGGAGGCTGGGAATTCAATGAGTAACTTACCTCAAAGCCTGTCCATCATTGGCAAGGCACAAGTCCAAGAGAATGAAGGAACAGTCTCCACTTGCCTGGATGAATGCAGTTGCAACAATACTTGAGAAACTCAGCACTGTTCAGGACAAAGCAAACCATTTTATCAGCATACTCTCACATGCACTCCTGCCATCACCAATAATCAAGGGCTACAGCCCATACTATATACAAGCTACACTACCATCTACTAGATGACTGCAGAAGTTCATCAAGGCTCCTTTGACACCATTCCAGAGCAAAGACCTCTGCCTAGATTGACAAGTGCAGCAGATGCAAAGTTACGATACCATGTACAAATTACCTTCCAATTCATACACCATATTGACTTGGAGCCATACTGCTGTTCTCAGAGACACTGGGTCAAAATCTTGGAACTCCCTGCCCAACAACAACATGAGTGTACCTAAACCAGAAAAACTGCAGTATCAATCAAATGGTTTGCAGTGATCTGGTTGGTGCCGAGTTTTTAAAAGTACTACTGGAACTGGTTCAAGAAGCTGAGTCACCGCCACCTTTTCAAAGGCAATTTGGGATCAGCAATAAATGCTGACCTAGCCAGCATCCCTCATATCCCTGGGAATGATTTCAGAAATTCCACATGGACACCAAAACAGACGCAAGTCCCCTTGAATATGTAAATTATGAAAAAACACTACTTCTGAAGGACTCTTTCCAAAAATCAGTCACTTCAAGGACAGACATTGCTGATTTAAATTGTTTTTTGTGGTCTTTGTGACCGCTAATCAAATGAGTTGTTTAATTTTTTTCCTCCACCATTCTCACAGAAGTCACAATCAGAACTCCCACATTCCTTGCTTGAAAACCAGTTCACAAGAAAGTCACCAGTGTCAAGGAAGATTGTCGAAAACTGATTTCCATGTAACAATGGACATGTATCCAGTGCCAACAATTCACCAATTTCTATCTACCTGAAAGAGAATGGACCTGGACCAATTTGAACACCCACTGTCCCATTTTTCTTCACAATTCAGTCCTCAAATAGTTGTGAGTGTCCTGTACCTAATGATTCTCAGGACTAGTACTAGCTACATGCCAGTTAGCTTATTCACTTAATTGTTACATTTCAGTTTAGGGATTATGATGGAAAGAATTTTACAATGGACACAAAAAAGTAGTTTCTCCATTCTTATTCTCAATTACCTTGAAAGCAGAATCTGTTTCCATTGGCCCCTATAACTAGGTGAGCAAGCCTCTTCCAAGCTGGAAAAAAATGATACTGGAAAAAAAAAAGTTAAAGTTGTGACAAGGAAAATACCTAAGTGAAAACTGTGTCTGATCAAGAATACTCAAGCTAAATGCAAATCAAAACGGCTGCAAGGACAGGCTTAAAGTTGCAATTGTTGCACATGAAACTACTCGGCAGTGACTGCAGACTTTAGAAATGTTCTAATGTACGATATGCATTCTTTAAAGCACAGTACTAATTATATATTTTATTTGTATTCACTGATTTTGCACATTATCTAGAATGATTAATGAACAATTGTACTAGCTAGCAATCATAGGATTAACTAGAAGTATTAGGGGATATTACCAAAGCAGAACTGAAACTGTTTGGCATACAAACATGATAGTAAATGCAACTCAGTCCATATAATTTGGATAATTATACCAACTGTACATTTCCACTAAAAGATTGGTACAACAAAACAACAAATTGTTGCAAAATTTGCACAATGCAGTTTTTTGCATTTACCACTTCATGTACAGAACCAATCACATTTATGGCATCATGAGGCAACAAGTCAATGAAGGCAGAATCACAGAAATAGATTGGGAATTTTCATCTAACTTCATCAGATAAATTTGCTGGGATTGTCTCAGGTGGAGAGATTGAGGAAACTGGGCCTATGTTCTCTACAGTTGGAAATGAAGATAGTGTGGCAAAGTGGCATCAAGGTAGTTTATCAGCCATGGTCTAAGGGAATAGCAAAGTAGGCTCATCAAACAGATTGAGCTAGTCCTACTCCTATTACAGCTACCATTCTATACATTAGGCAAAAGCGTAATAAATTTTCACTTACTATTGAAGAATTGTGTACTATATTGAGTCACCACGGTTAGGGAGAAAGAAAAAGAATCTTAGAAAATGCAGATTTTCCACTCTTTCAGAATTAAAAATGAATTCATTACGGTTTCTTGAATTTTAATTAAACTATAACAACTGCTAAACGTAGTGGACAAATTAATCCATTGCATCTGCAATCAAAGGCCATTAAATAAACCAGTTAGTTTTATGTTCTAAAGTTCAAACATTGGGTATCTGTTGTCTATAAATCAAAAAATAAAACAACTAGTATGGTAATAAATTATTTGATCCTTCACCTGGGCAGTGTTAGTTGATCTTAGTCACATGATGGTGATGGTACTTCAATAGCTTTCAGATTCTTTGGGGTTAGTGAAGTTTATAGTAAAGTATGGCAGCTCCTACTAATTACTGTCCACTGACCTCTGTTGAGATGGATGCATGTGTGGACACGGGCTGAAAATTGGATTGTGCTTGAAAGCAGCATTCTGACTAGTCTGCTAATCGCCCTTAATAGTTGTGCAAGATGTCAAATTGTTAGCAGTTTCAGAATTGAAAGAAAGAGATGATGTCTGGACAAGGTGTCAATTATTTTAATCTAGCATAAAATAAAAACATTTGCAGCTTTACTCACTTGAGTAAAAAAAAAGTTCTATAATTCAGTTTCTACCAACAAAATATGATTGAAGAAAGTTGGTACTATAAACAAGAATTTTAATATATCGATAAATAGATGTCTGATAATGAAAGTGTACAGTCAGCAAAGCTGTTAGCCTGTATAGTATTTGAAGCACTTTTAAAAGTTATTAAAAGTACATTAATTAACTGGTCTTGAATCTCAAATTTGGCAAAAAATAAATGTGTATTACTCAGCTTTATAGAATAAAATGTGTTTTACAGTGGTAAAGAAATGCTTTAAATTGTACAAAAGGATGCGACATTAGGTTACAATAAGGCATAATCTTTGCTTTGCAGTTAAGAGATGGTAATGGGTTCAAATTAAGGCTTAAACTTCAGATTTACATAAATATCATCCAAAGTATTCTCTCTCATCAGACTTACAGCAGAATTTTAAAAATTCTTTGTAAATTAAGAAAAGATTAATTACTGGCTATCTGCTTTGGAGTTTACCCAGCACAGATTCAGTGGAAACTCTAATTGTTTCTCTTTTCCTGGAGTTTCTGCTGAAGCAATGGCATCTGATTTGGTAGAAATTCAGGGGAATATTCCTAATATATGTGTTATAGACTCATTGGAGACAATGCAATCCCTGTAAGATGCAAACATATTTTCAAGCCAAATTCAGCAGTCTATTAGAATGATGAAATACCAGCAATAACTGCAATTTGGCACCCATTTCTTGAAAAAAGTAACATTTAACATATTTACATCTTTAATCTTTCTCATAATTACTCAACGTCTATGATATCTGATCTATTTTAGATTTGACAGATATAGTGGAGCCCTGAATGAAAAGGTGCACGTGCATCTGTTCCTTAAAATTAGTTTTGCTTTAGTGTTTCATCAAGCACTGGTTGTTTTAAATCATTCCAATTAGAAACAGGAAGATGTCATTTTGAAACCTGTGCAAAGTTAATAAAAGTAAAATGGCTATAAAAACTACAAAACTAATGGAGCACAATACGACTCAATACTTTAACAGATATATGAGGTAGTTCTGTTGTACTGGAGAAAAGTGGGAGTATTATAAATGTTACTCTAAAACACACAGTTTGACTTTATAACATTAAATAAGAGAAATTCCTGTCAAAAAATAAAACAAGGTTATTTCATCACTGAGGAGCATGTACTTAAAATACTAGATAAAGAAACCTAGTAACTGATCTCAGACTCCAATGACCCAGTGATGTGCAAGAATCCTTACTAGATGTGATAATAGGCACTCGCAGAGTGTGCAGTTGCAGGATACACCCCAATATTTATGAAAGTTAGTATTGTGTTGATGATTAATGACACAAGTCTTTCTCAGATACTGAGGTAGTAGTGATAGTAGAGGCAATGAAGTGATGAGCAGCATCATCCCCATCTGTGATCACAGTCTGGCATCTAGAAAGTCGAGTTTCTGCATTTTTCAGGCATGAGGATTCTGAGTTTCTGTTTTTCAAAGTGAAACCATTAACCGATCCTTTCCAACCCTTAATGCTCTCAAAACCATTAGTGAGCCCAGGGGATTCAACGGTCTTCATCGTGCCATTTTTAGTCTTAGAATGAAATGATGAGTTGTCCTGAGGATCAGTGATGTCCCTGTGCTTTTCTGCATCAACGCAATTCATCCCTTCAGTTGCAACAGGAGACAAAGAAGCCTTGCAAATATCAAAAGACTGACTATCCTTCTCGGGCAAAACAAGAGTACATTTGTTTTGAAGATCTTCACTCCAGTCTTGAGCTGCTACAACAGCAGTGCAGTCACTCTCAATGCTTTCCTTTGTCTTCCAGTCATCAGTTGATAACATAGGAATATACTCACTGTGAAGATTTTCTGTAGATGAAGCCGAGATGGACTTAAGCCGCAGATCTTCCTTACTTTGCCAATCTCCGTCCTCACAAGTGGAGTTTCTTTCTGATGCTGATAGTTCAGAATGAACTATGACTTCAGCTTCAACACGATTCAAACCTGAAGGCAGGTGTTTGTTCCTTTCTGCACCCTTGAAAATTTTAGAAAGTGAAATTCAGTGTGTGCATTTTTTTCAATCCCTATCTGAAAGATTCAGATTCTTATTTAAGCAACATCATTCTCTATAATTAGTTTACTTATCTGGCACAACCTGATATGACTCAACATGACAGCCAACACTAAATTCACAAACTTCAATGAACATCTACACTTGCAGCATTATAGTAAGATTATTGTTAAAGTTCCACAAACAATGAAAATACCAATACTGAATGACAATATGTCACTTTCCCAGTTACATTATTAATACATCAAATTGAAAGTAACTGCATACTACCATAGGAATTGTTAGATTAAAAAAGACCAAAGTCCTTTTGGTTCACTTTCTACAAGTCTGGTAATGCAATTGCTGACTAATCACTTCAATCAGTCTTGATTCAGTTAGTCCACAACCAGACATGAGGTGAAGCAAACATCAGCATTGGAAAGCTTTGGGAACCAAAGATTTAAAGTCACTGGTTTATCCTAAATACATGTTTTCTTGTCCGTTCAACGAAAAAAACCTAAATATCCAAAAATCATGTGAACATGTAACCAGGTATTTGCCGGAGAAACTGGAAAATCTTGAAATACAACATAAATTTTATAATACTGCTATAAAAAGTGAAGAATCAAAGACTAATAACCAGTGAGGTTTTTATTAAATGTGTACAAGCTTCATCTTCAACATATAACACTGAAAATGTATCAAAAACATGTAATTAAGTGCATCTCAAAGCACTCATGGGAAAACTTAACACTACCTAGGATATCTTTGGCATTCTTCAAATGATACAAAATTACTAAATACCACAGAGGTTTATAGTTGCTTAATTCAAATCTTTTTCAATCACCATTTTCCCTAGTATTTATGGCGTTTTATTCAAACAATTGGATGTATTATTTAAAAATGGATCAAGAATTTTGAATATTGTAATATTGAATATTGTAATTTCAGTTCATTCTGTTCTGGGGAAATCACATGCCACTTCGCAGGACCGTGTCATTCTCTGGTTAAATGGTAACCCCACACATTTTTTGCTCTCCCTTTGCAAAGGACAAAGTATCTTTCAGATGGCAGCTTTTCATGCTCTCAAATGAGGTGTTCAGATTTGACATGAGTATAATATGTCCCCTAAAATCTCCTCTGGGCATTGCAGCATGATGGCAATAGTGCAAAAAGCTATCTTATGTGATTTAATAATTAGGAAGAAAATATTGTGACAACTTCCTAAATGGCACTTTGAGCATCTGAATAGATGTTGTAATTTTTATTTGCATTGTTAAACTCAAATGAGCAGTGAGAATTTTTAGATCCAAATAAAAATGCCTAATTATTTTTCGTAAATATCTAAGTTACTCCTCTGGGTAGCCTGCTCTGAATATTAAATCAAGTATGCCTGATACAAAGCAAGAGAATGTACACCTCACCTAATCTTTGATAACTCTGTAGTTACTTGCAGCAAATTCCATTCACTCTTAATTCCTGTGATTGCTTGCTCACATAATGGTCTCACTAAGCTGGGAACCTAAATCAAGTATGTCTGGATTAAAGCAAGGGCATGGTTAATTAGATCCATGCCTAAACTTACAACAGAAGAGATCCATTAAGGTGCAATACAATTGAATGAACTACTGCATTTTGCATAGATTCACTGTCTTTTGCAGATATTGAAGTAGCCATGCTGCTGCGTGTTTTGTCCTGCTGTAACGTCAGCCGAAAACAAATCACTTACCACTTATACACTGATGACACCCAACTCTATTTTAGCATCACCTCTCAACTCCTCTACTATCTGTAAATTAGCAGACTATTTGTCAGACATCCAGTACCGACGGACAGAAATTTCTACCAATTAAAGTTGAAGATTGAATACACAGTCTTCATTCCCCACCATAAACTCAGGTTCCCAGGCAACTGATTCCATGCCTCTCCACAACAATTGTTTCAGGCTCAATCATAATTCATAAACCTATTACCATATATAACCCCAAGTTGAGCTTCTGATCATATATTGACACCATGACTAAGTCCACCTACATCCACCTTTGTTACTTGTCTACCTAAGTTTGTCTGTTGCTGAAACTTTCAGCACACCTTTATTATCTCTAGACTTAACAATTCCATACAACCCACTACATTTTGTCTTCCATATCCTTTACCACATCCAATCTCTGATGTCTGTGTCTTAACTTGCACCAAGCTCCAATCACTCACCGTCTCTGTATTTGCTTGCCCACGTGGTTCCCACTAATGTAACATCCAATTTTGAATATATCTTCCTTGTCTTCAAATCCTTCTGTAGCCTTACCTGTAACCAGCCTGTGTCTGTAAACTCCTTTAGCTCCACACACATCCAAAATATCCGCATGCTTATAATTCTGGCATCTTGAGCAACTATAATTTTAATTTCGCCATCGTTCGTTGCATCTTCAATTACGAAGACTTTAAGTTCAGGAATTCCCTCCATGAGCCTCACTAAATCACTTCTTTCTTTTTTCCTTTAAGACATTCCTTAAGCTTACCTCTTTGATCAATTACCCGAATATTACTTTGTGGATTCATGGAAAATCTTGTTTTATAATGCAAGAAGCAACCTGGGATGATTTATTAGAATATAGGTGCTACTTAAATACAATTGGTTGTTGCTTCATTTACTCTCTATTTGGTGACTTAGTATCTAGAAAGTTTATTGCTGGGCATTGATGGTACTATACAACCTAAACATCGCTTTTCATGCTTTTGTTTGCTTGCCTCATAAATGATAACAAATATGGTAGTTTTTGCAGGTTTTCCAATCTATGATTACCCACATCAACACCGTAGGCTTCTAGGAACCCAAAAAAGATAACCTGGACACTGGAACTCCCAAGAAAGTGTGCAATGATTTTACACCAAAATTGCACTGGATGAATTGAAGAACACCTGTGGAAATTCAATTACAGAATACTTGACTCCATGTTAAACATGGATTCCTCCATGTTCCTGATAACATCCAGCCAAACAAGGTAAATGGCCAACTCCACAAACACAAGTCTGTTCTATTTTCCAGCCTGAAATAGTTTATACATTTTGCTTTGACAACTCCTTAATTTCAAATTTCAGATTGAACCCAACTTCTCTGAAGGATATCATTAGAAACAAAAATATAGACAACCAATGACATTCTGCTATAATGTCAAAAACAAAGTTTTCATCTTGACTGGGCTCAGGGTTAGGTCTCAGTAGTTCATTCGTCTTGCAGGCTGAATCTGGCAGATTTGCACTGCTATAGCAAATTGTATCATTTGCCCACTTGTGATGAATACAGCTATTCCAAGCACTCTTTTTTGAGGATAGCGTAGAAACAAAGAGAAAAGGAAATCCATTACTTAACAAAAATTAAACAAATAAATGAAAGAACCAAGAAAGACTCAAAAATTTAACTTGAGAGTGCAATTTAAGTTAAAAAGTTAACACAAAGAACTTCACAAGGCCTGCCTTGACAAGAAATTTGCCTCTTGCCAAAAATAGAATCTGTCACATATAAAAGAACAAAAGTACTGTAAACTTTGCAGCTCAACAGCAGGCATTATATCTCAAACTGCTTTTTTTTCCATTCGTAGTAGGCGTTGGTGGCTAGGCCAATGTCTATTGTCTATCCTGTCTTGAAACTGAGCATTTAGAAACTAGGCCTTCAGATTTATCAGTTGAAATTTCCCTTAGGTGGTTTTAAAAAAAAAGTCCTCCCAAAAGCTGACAGGACTACGAAAGGTTTATCTTTCAGCCTGTTAACTGGAAGCCAAACAGCAGTGATGCATAACTGTTTAAGTTTCAAAAGTCTGTCGCCACAAGAAAGACATGGAGATAACATTGTCTTCTTCTTCTTCTCATTAACCCTTTTTTTTTGGTTTTTAATGAACTACTTTTCTATTTCAAGACACTACATAAATGTAAGCTGTTTAGAATAGCCTGGGTATTCATCCAAGCTTGAAAGTAAATGTTTTGTTGAGGATAGAACTGAAGAATTTTATGTATTATTGGACACACCTGGCTGATCTCGTCACAATCACAACATCCCTCTCCCTGAGTCTGAGGAGTTCTTGTAGCACCTCTTGGGGCATTTTAGCCTCCGACTCTGTGTTGGATATGGGCTGCATGTAATGCACAGGAGCTCGCCTCTTGCACCTGGAGCATCTCAGGAGAAATTCACTCTCTTCTTCCATTAGAAAAAGACATTAGAAAGTCTTATTTCAGTTATTATTTGATAGGAATAGGCTAATTATAAAATAAGGAGGGGTTCCTGAGTTAATTGACACAAGGTGTAAAGTGAATCTTCTAATTCAAGTAAAACAGGACTTATATCCAGGATGGTTTAGAGCTCTTGTGTTTCTTACAAGGTGTTGATGACATGCACATGCTCATGACATGGGTCTTACCAGATCAAGGGAATCTTTTAGCAAGCTAATCAAGTGTTTAAAGGCAGGCCAGAAATACGCAGTGCATGAACAAACAACAATACTTGAAGTGCATAGGGCAGTGCTTTACGCAACAATTTTACAAATTTTGAGGTGCAGGAAGAAAACTAACCATGGTATTTTCATTATTACTCCTTTAAAGCTTAAGGGCAGCACTTCTGTGTGCATAAAACAACCTTTGATAGAACAAAAAAAGAAACAGTTTGGAGAGAAAGAGAGGAAAATTTTATCACCAGTGTGCCGATTGATTAGTCGTAGAAAAACCATAGTGCTTCAAAGTATGGCCATTTAAAGCCATACGGGGAAGGACAATGATATCAGCTAAATATTGTCTCAAAACTCTATCCAAAAAGTGTTATTCAATTGATTCTCCTTGTTATTTTTCCTAACTCTTCATGTTCTATGGGAGAGAAATGAAACACTGTAAAAGGAATAAAAAAAACTTTCAACTTTTCCTTCCTGTAGGAAATGGGCAGTGTTTTTGACTATCAATATATCAGCTAATTCCTAATCTCTATTCCCATATATTTCCATATCCTGTTATTTTTACGAGATAACAAAGCATACCTTTAAATTTATTTGAATGTCATCATCTGGAAGAGGGGTATCCATAAATACTTGAACCTTAGTGAGTTCGGTTGTCTTGACAGGCAGGGACAGATCTTCAGCTGCAGTAGACATTAGTGTTTCCAGTTCGTGTGCGTGGGGATGGGAAATACTGTGAGTTGAAGAAGTTTTTCTTGCCCTGCGATAGTGACCATGTTTGGTGGTCAGGTGGGTATCAGGGCCTGAGGAATCTTCTCTGTCAATGAAAAGATATACATTATAAGCTATTTATACTCATTAACTTCATTATTAACCAAATAACTTTTTGGTTATTTTGGAAGATTATTTATAACCTTTTCACACACAGCTGCCCTTTCTTCCCTGATGTGACTTTGGCCGCAACTAAATAACACACATGAAAAGGATGCTTTAATTAAAAGCCATATTAACCAGTTGTTGCATGCTGGTCAGGTAGGAAATTTATGAAAAAAAAAAGGGGTTTGGAAAAAAATTGAGGCATTTAATAGGTAAATCTTTTCTCATGTTTCATCTAGCATAAGAGATTCAAGAACATGCACTTCTCTAAAACAATAATAATATACAAGCTGACCAAACCAGAAGGCAGATGATGGGAAGAAAAAAAACTTCATTCAGAATAACTTTTAGGAATGCACTTCAGAGGAAGGGAAATTAAATTCCAAGAAGTTTTTTTAAAATTTTGCTCACAGGTTCAGTTGTGCAGTGTGTTATAACAATGGTTTTCATCTCTGGAACTTGAGTCAGACTAATGGATAAAATTCTCTGGCATCTCATCAAATCCAAATAAAATTTGTCTCAATAGTCTTAACTCAGTGCCAAATGAATGCTGCTTCACAGCTATTCACGATTAAACTGGTGCTTCCATTCAGGTTCCACAAGAATGAGATGTGCAGCAAACTTGCTGTTCTGTGATTGGGCACAAGCTATAACAGAAAGGAAGGAAGTAGAGGTATATTGTTTATCCACTACTTGTCACAAAATCATAAATGTGTTCTTTATACTCGTGTTCATAATGTGCTACAAAAGCAAAAAAGGAAACCTTTTCTAATAGAACAGTTAATGGATGCATTTATATTTGATCTGTGTGCTTGATACTGATTTGCAAGCAAAACACAGTAAACTGTTCATTTACATTCCATTCTTTCACACTCACTGATACTGGCATCATATCTTGATGGGCATGTACATTTACTTCAAATAAAAATGGAAAAAATATTTTATATATTTAAGCAAAAAAATGTTGTTAATGTTTTCCAATACTAATTATTGATTCATGGTATCATAATTGTGGAAGCTGTCAGTGCACAGATTTTCTGTTGCTAAGTTAGACCTTGGACAATATCCCAAATTACATAATATTCATTAGCACAGTGCAAATCTGTCAGTGACATTGTTAACTGATACATGCTAACAACACCTGAACATCTTATTGTGGATTAATTAATTCAAAATGAGTGACAACACAAATATATTATGCTAGACTTAGCTCTTTACCTCCGCTTGCTGTTGCAGAAACTGGCACAGATGCAGAGGAGAATGCAAAGGAGTCCGAGACACACACCCACAATGATGCCTGTCACTGAATGTACATCAAGAAGATCATGCAGCCCTGATAGCAAAAGACTAGTCAGTAAATTCTGTAAAGTATTTCAGCGATCATAAAAGTGAAGGTGTATACTATCACCCCAGTGATGTAAGAATCATTAACCTAATTCAAGAACTCACCAGAGTTTCAAAGCACATCTATCTTTATTTAATTCCATGAAAGGAACCTTGATAGGTTTAATATTCTTATACATTTCACCGCAGTTTCATATTTTGTACAAACACACCACCACTTTAGGTAACAGATTAACGACCTCCACTTTTGATTTGCTGAATGTTACATCTTTCGTTCTGCCTCATTGGGCAGCAATTTAACACAAGTTAAATTGGGATAAGCCCTGAGAAATCGCACTGCAATATTTCAGCAGTCAAAGCATGAGCATCAATAATGTTGATCATGATGGCTCGCATTCCACTAAAATACATACCAACATTTCTGATAGGGGTATTTTATTTGTAACATTTGCTCAAAGGATAGGTTTGGGATTTCCTATTCCTGACAACTGAGTGATGGGGCGACTTACGCCCAATGTCCTGACCCCATCTTAATCTGATATTTTCTTGGGTAAGAGGTCATTATGTGTGGGGGGCAACTGCTGCTGACATCTATTTGAGCCAATCACTGCAACTGTGCAGAATTTTGCAGTGCAGCACTAAGTGAGCCAAAAGGACACAAAGGCATAGGAGGAAAGTAAAATGTAGATTGGTTTGTTTTTCAATTGAAGGCCTAAGCAAAGACCCAAGCCATCCACAGCCAAGACAGCAGAGTAAAATGAATTTATGGACCTCACTATCATTATCACAAAGAAGAATACCAATCAGAACAATGATAAGAGGGGTGGACCAGACTGAATACTTGCTCAAAAAAACTGAGACATGATACTTGCACACGTACTGTGCCCCAGGAAGGAATCATTGCTTTTGGGAGAACAAGGCAGAAAATTTTGGTAAGAAAAACAAAAGCTTTAAACATGTATTTGCAAAATTTAATGATCAATCATGTTGAATAACTTAGAATTTTGGCTGATGCATTAAAAAATGTAATTTATGAACTGTGCTTTTTATCTGTAGTCATGGGAATTTAACATTATTGGACACTATGATCCTCACATAGAAGCTGCACCACATCGTAAATGACCAATATGACTGACGTTTTCCTTGACTTACAAGCACAGCACGCTTGGTAGTGTGGACAGTTGTGGCTTGGCAGAGTTTTTTTTTAATACCTGACACTTATGATTGGAGTGTACCGAATTTGGACATTTTTTTGGCTTATTTACTTATAAAATACATTACAACTATCCACTATTCTATGGGTATTTTGAAATACATATCCAGTCATTGTGACTGCTCAAGATAGAGATTGACAGATTTCCAAATACTAACGACATCAAGTGATATGGGAATAACATGGGAAAATAGCATTGATGTAGATCATTTAGCCATGATCTAAAATGCTGCAGCAGGTTCAAGGTGCTGAGAGGCCTACTCCTGTGTTCTATTATCCAAATTTCCAAAACTAAAAAAAATATAAACTGTCAAAGCTTACCTAATATTCCTTTAGACAGAGTTTGCACATCTTTTGCTGTGGAGTATGGTCCTGTTCCGACAACTGTCTTTGCACCCATCTTGAAGAAGTAGCGAGTGTCACTCTCTAGTCCCTGCACATCGGTACTGAATATGTGTCCTAAACATAAAAAAAAGACTACTGAAGACATGTACAACGTAAGCTGTTGTCAACAACATAACCCAATCGATGTCGTGACATTTCTAAGTCATGGAAAGACTACCATGCCTCTACTTCAGTGGGCCAACACTTGCTATTGATAGAGTTGTATAAAGTTGATCATTCATCACATGGTCTTACTTTGAACTTGAATGGACACTCTCCCTTCACTAGTGCAAACTCTCTTTCTTTCAAAGAGCTCAGTTAGCCTCTATGTTCCAAGTCTTGGACTACAACTGCACCACCTAAGACTGCGTTTCATTCTGTTTTGGTGAAAAGCAGAGACCAACCTAATAACAGGATTTTGTAGACTGAACTCTGAAAATGGGCATCTTGCTGCAGTTCAGAGTCTATTTGATTTTTGTACCAAATCAACAATCCAAATTTAGCACTGAAGAATTGTATTTTTTTAATGACTCTTTTGGCTTTACACCATCATTAATCTTATGAATGAATGTATTGTAACCTGGGCAACCAAATGGCCATGTCCCAAGTTGGCAACAGGAGACGAAAATTAATAATACTGACTTGAGGTTACAAGATTTCATCTAATTTTTGAGTTACTACAGAAACAAGTAATAACAGACTATGACCAAGATTTTACATTGATTAAGAGTGGGCTACAATTTACCCACAAGCTTTTTAAAGGAGGTTACGGCTATGTAACTTAAAGTTACTCTTCAAGCTCATTCCTTGGCCTCCAGGGGTCAGTTTAGTCAGTTGACTGGACACTGGTTTGCGATACAGAATGACAGGTTCAATTCTCGCACTGGCTCAGGTCATCACAAAGGTCTATCTTCTCAGTTTTGCCACTCACCTGAAGTGTGGTGACCCTCAGGCTAAAGTGACCACTAGTTGTCTTTCGCTAATGAGAGAGCAGCTCTATGGTTGTCTGATGTCTATGACGACATCATCCTTACAATAATTCAAAGCAGGGTAAGAAGCTTTATCACTGCCCTGGCCTATATTCATCCCTCAGCTAACACCAAGGATGAATCTGGTTTGCTATCTCCAATTTGGCAGTCACATTTGGCTACACTTCAAAACTAATTTATTGGCTGCCGCTATTTTTAAGGATACCCTGGATACACAAATGGAATTACATCATTGCATATTCTTCTCTAAAGAACAGAACCTCTCAAATGGTTCAGCCTCGATATCAGGAATGATTTGGTCATCAGTTAACACAAAGTACTCTACCTGCAACCACAAAGAGATAGATATATCTAAGATAACCTCTCTCCTCATCTGAGGCAGGGCAACCCTCAGGTTAAACCTGTCATCTCTGTCTAATGAAAGCACAGCCCTTTGATCCGATAGAACAATGCTAATGCATAACAAAATGAATTTTGATACAATCTGATTTTAATGAGTTGAGATATATTCCAATGTAGAGAATAGAAACGTGTGTAAATTAATTAACTTTAAGCACAATATTGATCTAATTGCATTTGGTGCGTAATGAGCTAGGTATGTTCAATCAACTAAGATCTCAATATTTTTGTAGGATATTCACCTTGCAACTATATTATTTTAACTACATCAAATATCATAATCACTCCTAAATCTTAGCACTATGACATTTATCTTGTGTGGCACATTCAGATAGCAAGAAAATAGAACATTAACATTTAATGAGATACAAAACAGTTCTTTTCATTTATAACCATTTTGGACAACTTTTCCCAATAGTCACCTTCCTTGGATAGTGAATTCCACAAGTCATCAGGTTGTGTGTAGTTTGCATTATACAAAATAATGTATTCAACTATAATGCCATTTGGTTCAGTTGGAGGCAGCCATCGAACTCTGACAGAATAGGCATTAAGTGGATTCAACTTCATGTCTGATGGAGGAGTTGATGGTTCTGAAAATAACAAGAATTGTTAAGAAACTAATGTTCACTCAAATACGTTACTGAAAGAAAATTTAAAGAATTCACGTTAGTTGTCTTGTCCGTGGCACAGTATCTGATAATTAATCAAGGCTCACTGAATGAAAACCAATTTGGTGGTACATCCATTCTACTATTAAAAGACAGTGTCAACACGCATTTCCACAAGTTAGAGTAAGTTACTTGCTACTACTCTAAGTTACCCCGGTTTACCTTGTTATTTCCAGCAGCCAGCTGTGAAAGAACACAAGGTCATCTTACCAGGATGATAACTATCAGAACAGAGACTCTGGTGGGGGCTTGAAGTGATAAAATGGAGGGTAAAACAAAAAGCCTTTTTGAGAAAGAACATAATTTGAAATTTCAAATTTCTTATCTCCAAGTCAAAAATAGTCTGCTAGAGATCTCATGTCAAATCTACTAGCAGGACACAGACATGTACAGATATATTTAATATTTCTGATTTCAAACAAGTGCCAATAACTTTAACTTCATTGACAAATTTTGCAGTCCTGGTGCTGATACCCATGCAACATGAAAAGTTCAGACCCCATTTGTAAATGAATCAAGTTGTTTTCCGGTCCAAAAACCCCCTAATGACACGAGGCATCTGATTACTTAATACGGGATATCTTTCATTAGATTCAACAAACTTATTATTAAAAATAAAGCTTCACTTAAGTTAAGGTGATTTAAAAATTTCCTTGGTATTCATTTAACTGAAGATGTATCTAATAAGTTGCGAATATATTGTATGCGTGATATTATTGACAAATGCAAGGCACAAGTGTATTTCTTCTAAAAGTACAATCAGAAATCCATACAATATTTTTACTGAAAAAAAAACTGTGTGTAACATTATAGTGAAACATTATTCAATGCTTTCCCCCTTCATTATCTGCATCGAAGGTCTTATGGGAAATACAGAAGCTGCTCCTCCAGCAGCACTTTCCAAACCTTTTATCATTAGAAGGACAAGGGCAGCAGATAGCCTAACCCTAACACAAATACCAGCAGGTACAAGCTTCCCCTCCAAGCTCTACACTATCCAGACCTAGAACTTTATTGCCATTCCTCCACTGTTGTTGGTTCAAGATTGTGGGCACTCCCTTCCTCACAGCACTGTGGGTATCCCTACTCCCCAAAGACTGCAGCAATTCAAGAATATAGTTCATCATCTTCTCCAGAACAATTAGGGATGGGCAATAAATGCAGGAAAAGCCAACGATGCCCACATCCCATGAACAAGTAAAAACAGAGGCTGGATTCAGCCCAAATATGTTATTAGAGATCTGCTCATGGAAACATGATGATCTAAACTTTGCTGACCATCTAAAAACACCATTTAAATTCACAGCCAGTCAATAATCAGCAGTTGAAAACTGAAAAGTCATGAGCAAAAACTGAAATGCATGCAGCTAATTTTAATAACGTACACCAGTGTGGGCCAGAAAGCCATCAATTATAGCATATTAGAAACTGTGAATTTAGGTGGAAAATAAGTCCTACCTGATTTCAGCTCCAAATCTAATTTATTTATGGATTTAGGGTGGATGTTGTAAGTTTTCACCAAAGCTGTCCAGTGTTTAAACTCAACATTAAAAAAATGATGTGGAGCTTCCCTTCTATTTCCTGGCTAGCCATCACGCCGAATGTCATGTGCAATAAACATTTGGAGAACCTGATATCAGAGTTGCTGTGGTACACCTCTGAAGGATTTAAAAGGCACAGATTCCAAAGATTTCCTGGCCAATTTGTTGACAGATAGACCATACATTAGGCTACTTATTAAGCTAAGAGCCCAGAGGCAACATATTAGCATGAATAGAAGATTGGTTAATTAAGAAAAGGCAGAGTTGGGATAAGGGGTGCATTTTCAGGATATCAGGGATCAATGCTGCAAACACAATTATTAACATATATGAATGACTTGGATGAGGAAAGTGGAATTTGCAGATAGCACAAAAATAGATGGGAAGGCAAGTGATGAAGATGAAACAAAGTTTGCAGGAGGGTATAGACAGGTTAAGTTAATAGGCAAAAAACTTGGCAGATGCAATTTAACGTGGGGAAATGTGTGGTTATGCACTTTTGCAGGAAGAATACAGGAACTGAATATTATTAAATGGAGAAAGATGGCAGAAGACTATGGAACCCTGGGATTTGGGAGTTCTCGTCCATGAATCACAAAAAAACTAGCACTAAGTTCAGCAGGTAATAGGGAAAGCAAATCGGGTATTGGCCTTTATTTCAAAGGGAATGAAGTATAAGAACAGGGAAGTATTGCCATGACTTGTACCTCATAAATTACCATAATTGTATCTCAGCTGGAAAACTGAACAGTTTTGGGCCTCCTATCTAAAGAAAGATATAATGGCATTGAGGGGGTCCAAAGAAGGTTTGCTGAGCTGGTACCAGATACGGAGGGGCCGCCTTATGAGGAGAGGTTAAATAGATTTAGCTGTACTCATTGAAATATAGAAGAATGAGAAGTAGCCTTATTGAAACACAAGATTCTTGGTGGACTTCATAGGGTAGATATGGAAAGGTTGTTTCCCCTTGTGGGAGAATCTAGGGCCAGAGGACACAATCTTAGAAAAAGGGGTTATACATTTAAGACAGAAATGAGGAGGAATTTTGTGTCTCAGAGGAGAGTAAATCAGTGGAATTCTTTATAGTAGAGGGCTGTCAAGGTAGGGTCATTAGGCATGTTGAAGGCTGAGACAGACTGATTTTTAATCAATAAGGGAATCAATGGCTACAGGGAAGGGTTTTTCATTGGGCAACTAGCTAGGCAGTGAAAGAACTTTACGAGGGACTGAATTCTCTGACTCTGTCAGGTTGCATTGATATCAATGTTGTCCAAAAGCCGGATGGAAGTCTCCATACCATGTTTGCTTTGGAAAGCTCAATGTGCTCTGCTCCAGAGAAAAAATGGTGGACATAGAAATCAATGGAGAACCTGTGCAACTGCAGATGAAACTTGGAAACAATGGGGAAGCATTTTTTGTTCAAGAAACAACAAATAAAAAGGTGGCTTTGATGGGGTCTGGAGCAGTCACGTCTTCAGAGGCAGCGTGGTTACAGAGTCAACTGGCTGGTGAAGACCAGAGCAGGACTCTTGCAGCGGAGTGAAGTGGAGTGGTGAAGTCCAGAAAGGGATTGATAGTGGTGGAGAAGGAAAAGTTGCACTCCAAGTCATATTCCTTTATTTTTTATTTTTGTTTTTAATCAATGAGAATGACACCTATGCATGGTGACAGTATAAACATTTCGCTGTATTTTATATTGAATACACGTGACAATAAATGAATCAATGATTGAATGAAAAGGCAGGAAAGTAGAGTTGAGGATTATCAGATCAGCCATGATCTCACTGAACAGCATAGCAGAATCAATGGTTGAATGGCCTAATTCTGCTCCTATACCTTATGGTTATGGTCTTATACTCTCAGCCGTATTTCTCTTTCAAACTTTGTATAATATTTACTGATCAATCAGATTCACAGTGGATAGCTTCTGAGCTGATTTTATGTCAAGCAAGTGTCAATGACAGAGGAGTCTATATCTTCCTGCAGCACTCAGATGGAGGTGTCATTACTTCACTTTGGCAGAAACCATGCTGGTGGAGCCTTCTCCTCTTCAAGGCAGTCAGTCAATCAAATAACATTCAGTGACATCACTGAGTTGTTATTGCCTAGCTAACTTATGGTCAAAGACTTTTCTGAAGTACTCCAATCATAGCAGGTCACATCTTACATGGTACTGCATGAAAATTAGTGGCCAAAATGAACACAAATCAATATCACCCAATTGGTTATATCCTTCAAAATGACAGCATTTTTGAAACTTCTCTCCACAGAAAAGACCAGTAGGAACATAGCAAAATGATTGTCATGACCTGCTTTATCATTGCCTAGCTCAGCAAAGGTCTTGAGCTGTCATCTGAAAATTAGTGTGTTCACTCACAGGCATGCTACAATGCTGGTACGATATGACAGGATCACTGAGGGCAACCATTCTTGCTGCTACTTCACAGAACCAGTTCAACTTAAAAGGGCAAAGAGAAATTTGGGTTCTAGCTGATCCTTCACTTGTCCATACACTGTCACTTATGCCAAAGGTTTCCTTGCTCTTCATTTTCCCTTGTTTGTTTTAAAATAATTCTTTTCAATCTTGAGCAATGGGTTGAGATGCCTTTTAAAGCTCTTCAAAACTTTTCTGAATCTCCCTTACCATGAGGACCTACTTTAATTGCCCCTATGACTTTACACTAAATAGCTTTGCAAATCAGTATACATCAGAAAACTGAATGCTAGTGGATGGGATTTGCACCAGTTCTTAACTTTTTGGGTCCGAACTAAACCTGAAGATGAAAACTGGCCTCAAACTCCCCACAGACTGGAATCAGTGAATGTGCAACACATCTTACGTCAGGGCTTCTCAAATTGGGGGTTGCTGACAGTGAACAGCTGCAGGACAGCTTTAAATCCTTAAAACTTTTTTTCAAACTGTGGCTGTTGCCTAATTGACCCAACATTGAGGCCTGTCTTAGGAATACCAAGGAAAACTCAGGAACGGTATCTGTAATTAAAAAACACATAATTAACAATGTAAAAACCTTGTACTCACTGTCAGACAAGGTCAGCCCCTCAATAATGCCACTGAAAGGTCCATCAACACCAATTCCATTGGACTGAACTGCAAATTCGTATCTGGTAAATGGCTTCAGGCTAGTGATAAAAATCTCTTCTTCAGAGCTAGAAATAGCCAAAAACATTGAATGCTGAAAAGGAATTTTAACACGCAAAGTATTGATAGACACACAATGTGTAGTGCTTTTATGATTACACCTTTTACATAGTGTCAACTTTGGTTCAGTTCGTATCACTCCTCCATCTTAAGTTAGAAGATTGGGAGTTCAAGTTCCATTCCAATACTTGAGCACAAAAACCGGGCTGACAAGTCCAGTGCCATACTGAGGGTGTGACATGCTATTGGAGGTGCTTTCTTTCAGACAAGTAGTTAAAAGTCAGGCCTCATCTGCCTTTTCAGGTGAAATAGAAGGCCATATTTTGAAGGACAAGAGGGGAGTAATGCCCAGTATTCTAGCTTACAATAATTCCTTAATCAATATCACAAAAACAAATTATTTAGTCATCATTGCATTGCAGTGTGCAAAATTGCCCACAGCATCACCTACATTCCAATGTCAGCACTTCAAAATGCAGTTCCATTGGCCATAAAGCACTTTTATACAAAAATGTAACTTTTTACTTACAGTACCTCCTGAAAAGGATCTTTCCAGTGTGGTGCCTGGTCAACGGCACTCAGGGTCTGCATTGGGGGAGAGGGCTCTTTACTTATTGGGCCCTAAGTCATTTGCAAGGAATGTCACTTCTTCTGGTTGTTTCATGGCTGCTGCATAGTGGCTTTTTTTTGGTGGGGAGGCATCATGATTGCTCCCCTTGGCTGGCTGTGGCGCTTTGATCTTTCTCCTCTTCCTGATCACCAGGGTGTTAGCTGTGGCTAAGCTCAGATCACAATTTGTGACTGGTACAGCAGCTCAGGGATGCTGAACTTGGTATTGGCCAGTGCCTGCAGGTCAACAGGTTGTGGGATGGCTGTGATCCTATGGTCAGCTGGAAGGGGTGACTCTGTCATGTTTAGGTGGGTTCTGCAGGTTGTCAAAACCTTTGGGGGGGGTGCAAATGCTGTCTCAGCTGCAGTGTGGCTAGGGGCACTCAATCTGGGCCCTGAAAGGTCAAGGTGCCCTGGTACAGACTTTGAGCAACAGCGCAACATAGGGAAAGGTCTCAAATGAGAGTGGGAGAGGTACTGCCAAAATGACAAATGGGGTCAGGTACAATAAATTGAATTTCATGACACTCAACAAGATTTCAGGTCCCAATAATTACTAACATTAAAATGAAAGAATGGGGCAAAGTTAAATGAGGACTTCCCTAATATATGGGAGTGAAAATACTTCTTTGATGAATATTAAACAAAACAGAATAAAAACGATAACAAAAATACACTCCCAATACTTCCAAGCCTGTCTTCATTCTTTGCAGATGCTATATAATTTTAACACTACTTGTTTTATATCATATCTACAGGAATTACAGACATTCTTTGTTTAAAAATATATTGTGCATCTTTGACAAAATAATTTGTCTGGCAAGTACTCTCTTGCCTTAGACACTAGAAAAGAGATTTTGCTTTGACAATTCTGCTCAGGTCATCCTAATCCATTTTGATCTCTATTGTTAACCATTTTTCAATCACAAGACAACGGTATCACACACATTAGCATAGAATCAACTTCCATTTCATACAGTGTTGTGATCCCAGCTGATAGTAATACTGGACGAGTCAGACCCCAGTTGAAATCTGGCTTGATCCACAGGCCACAATCAGTGAAGATAGGTAACTGCACCTCCTCCACAATAACACTCAACACTGGAGCCCTCCCAAGGATGCGACCTCAGCCCCCTATTGTACTCCCTGTACACCTAGGACTGTGTTGCCAAATTCCTAATGAGTGCCATCTACAAGTGCACTGTCAACAGCACCATAGTGGGACAGATATCTAACAACAATGAGTCAAACTACAGAGGGGAGACAGAGGGCTTGGTGATGTGGTGCAATGAAAATAATCTGTCCCTCAACGTCAGCAAAACTAAAGAACTGATCATTGACTTCAGAAAGAAAGGAGGGGAACACATCCCCAACTACATCAACGGAACTGAGGTTGAGAGGGGGAAGGGCATCAAGTTCCTCAGAGTGACAATAACTGACAACTTGTCCTGGACTTCCCACGTAGATGCGACAGTCAAGAAGGCAGAACAACGCCACTTCTTCCTCAGGCAGCTCAGGAAATTTGGCATATCCATAAGATGCCTTACCAACTTCTCCAGATGCACCATTGAAAGCATTCTATCCAAATACATAATGGCCTGGTATGCCAATTGCTCTGTCCAGGACTGTAAGAAACTACAGAAGGTAGTGTGCACAGCCCAAACCATCACAGAAGCCAACCTTCCATCTATAGACTCCATTTATATGACTCACTGCCACAGAAAGGCTGCTAACATCACCAAAGACCCATCGCACCTTGGTAATGATCTCCTAAAACCTCTTCCGTCAGGCAGAAGATGCAGAAGCCAGTACACATGCACAAGCAGGTTCAGGAACAGCATCTTCATGGCTGTTATCAGACTGATGAATGGACCCTCTAGCGTCAAACAATTCTGATCTTGCTAACGTTAATCTCACCTAGCACATGCCCTGCGCAACGTAACCTGTATGCCTCTGTCTAAGTCTTTTTGATCTGTACATCCTTTGCTTACTACGATCTGCCTGTACTGTTTGTAAACAATGCTTTTCGCTATTTGGTACATGTGACAATAAATAAATATGTTTTCGTGATGTTTGCAATTTGGTTATCGTGATGGCCACAGAACATAGGTTTATTACACAAAAGAGATGAACAAAACTATACATTGAAGAGAGTTAGAAAGATCTTAACATAAACATCAAAACAAAATTTAATCTGTTTCCCAACACAGTCCATTATAGAGACTCAGCTCTCTCTGTCTGTTTAATCGGCTTTCCTCAGTTTTTCACTTGAGCTGTAGGGACAATTTTACAATTCCTTTCTAGTCTGACGGCATGAACCTCATAATTTTGATGGGCTAAACTTTCTCAGTTCTAACAATTTGAAGATTTCTATCCAAACTCTGTTGGCTTGGAAATTCCGTAGACTAGAAGCACAGTGGTTGACTGTGATTTTTAAAAACTAATCGCAATGGAATAAAGATGAGGCATCTGCACATCTCTTGGTATTACTGCATATGGAATATGGTGACAACAGCAGTTAGGCATAGGCAAATCCTAAAGCTGACTATGACCAGCTCATGTCATTGGCTGCACTCTGTGCATGTACCAGCAGCTATTTCGGTGTTCAGAGTATTTCTCTTATTTCGTATTATATATTTATAATAGAGGCCATTTATCTCTTTACTCAACTTGGGAATAAGCTATCATGTAGATCTGCATGACTCAATATCAACACCAGCTAACAGTAATGACATCACTTATTTTTTCCAGAACTGTGGAATGCATAAAGAAGAAAAAGAGCTAGACACTCAAACAACCATATAGGAACATGTACAAAGGCCACATTCTTCAGCCATGTGGAGTACACAACATTCAAAAATAATCTTTATAGGTTCCAAACCTCAGTAGGAATCATGAGAAAACACACCATCCAAAACTGTACTTCATATATATCAGAATAGAACTTGTTTTCTCTTTAAATTCCGTTAAAAGCAGACATATTACTTGAAAGGAGTCTGCTACTTCTGCAACAAACATCTTAGAATTTTAATCCTTAGCCAAATCTTCATGGATGCATCTTGGGCATGTCGATTGTATAAATGAGTGGACTCCTACCTTCAGTTCCAACCCCTCTCACTACACACAAATTCACAAATAATACTTTCAACAAGACTATATTGATAGTGTTAAGAATCACTTTATATTATGTAAATATGACAAGTTCCTTTATGATTCAACATCTGAAAGGACAGCGAAACAGAAGATATGTTATATATTGTTTGTAAAATTCTACATTAGACTAGGAACTAAAGTTATGTTTTCTTATTTTTTATTGGACGTGGGCATCATCAACAAGGCCTATGTTTGTTGGTCACCCTAGAATGCCCTTGCACTGAGCTTCTTCCTATAGCAATTCAGTGGGTAGTTAATAGTCAACCACATAATAGTCAGCCTGGACTCAAAAATAGGCCAGACCAGGTGAGGATGACAGATTGCCTACCCTCAAGGACAATAGTAAACCACGTGTTTTTACAACAATTGATTATAGTTTCATGGTCACCATTACTGTGACTTGTAATGAATTCCTGATTTATTACATTCAAAATCTACGAGCTATCATGGTTGAATTTGAATCCCTGGCCCCAGAGCACTGGCCTGGGCCTCTGGATTACTAGTCCAGTGACATTATTACTATGCCACTATCTCACATTGTTGAGTGCATCAGTAGGGAATATTTTTACAGCTGCATCTGAATTAAGCATGGAACACATAAGAGAACCAGTAGGAATTGATCTGCAGTGGGAACCCAGGTTTCTTCTGCTGCAAGCAGCTAATGGAATTAAACTGATCAATTTTTGAAAAATATGAACACTAAGGTTGACTATTAAAACACAGAACCCATATCAACATATTATGGTGGCAGTGGTGGGATTTAAACACATGCCTTTGAGGAAAATCAAGCTTAATCAAACCAGAATGAAAGGATCATCATTCCACTCTAAAACTGCAATGACTCATTAGCACTGGCAGGACAAAAGTTTTCAATAAGCTCAACGGCAGAAATAGTTATGGGAATGTGAAACTGGATGTTGATCTCAGGGTTGAGGAAGATATGTCCACAAGCCTATCTTTTAAAGGCAACTTTGCAAAGAAAATAGAACATACTAGGTAGAACACACAATTTTAGACATAGAAACAAAAGGGGCCGTGAATATCAGGAGGCCTTGAAAGAAACTAATGAGTGAGTAAAGCAAAGTCAAAATGCTGACTGATCTGAAAGAAGATTTGAAACCGCGAGATCTACACAATTAGGCCGTGATAGAGCAAACCAAAATACTGAAGTGCTGCAGTAGAGTCCCATGCCCTGAGAGAGAAGGTAAATGTAGCTGCTTATAAGCCACTGACAAATCTGTAAGATGATCATGAAACACCATGCTGGACAAAGAAGGTGTACAAATTTGAAGCAAGTGGTCCAAATAGGTGGGGTCACAGCGGCTACAACAACCTTTATCTAGAGGAATTTGAATCTGACAGTGACCAAAAAGATAGCAGCAACAAGCATGTTGCCACTGGGACAGTATTAAACGGATAAGAGTTCTTATTCCTTGAAGCTTGAAGTGTGACTATTCAAATAGCCCAGAATCCATTTCAACTTATCAAGGCTATTTATCTATATTTGGAAATTAATTGAGAAAAGGAATTTCAGTCATTATTTAGGATCTTGACTATACTTTAACTATTCATCTGTAATCAATTGCAACCTATTTAGGAAATAGTTACTTGAATTCACCTTGTGAAATACGTCACAAGAGAAGCATTCTTGAGCCCTGATGGACTGCAACGCACAGTATAATTTGCAATTTGGACTGTAGTGAATGGTGGTCGGGTCCAGTGTAACCAAATTGCCCTGGAACTGTTGGATTCTGCACGGAGCTGGGTTGGAGGTGGTAGCACTACTGGGAGATCTGAAAAAGAGAGATGTAATCACAAATATTGTATTTTACATTCCAATTTTGTATCTGGTTATAGATGGTTTAAGGGTTACAAGTTTAACAGATTACAGAACTATAGAAAACACTGCAAAACATTGTACGTGAGAAATGAAAATTCCACATAAACATTGCTTTTGAACAATGAGAAAATTACAAATCCTTGGGCTATGGGTTAGGGCACTCTTGGCCTTGCTTGATATGGTCAATAGCACACTCTGAAACAGTTAGCATAAGCATTCTCATTATGGTGCTCACCCAAGGTCACAGCAGGTGCTTTTTCAGTTTTTCCTTTCCATATTGCTGCATATCCATCATCTTGTTTGTTGAATGCAATCAACTTAATTTCGTAAAGTCGGTCTGAAACTAAATGAGGAAAAAGATAAATCCAGTAAATATTTTCTGAAGAGACAAACAAGAGGATCTTGCCACTTTAACAATTTATGATAACATAATCAATACAATTGAACATAGTTTTTCCCAGTCATTTTAATGTGGCAATCTTTCAACTGAAGGAAACTAGTTCATAATATACAGACATAGATTCAGAGATGTAATAGTACAATTTAAGTACATCTTTGGGTCAAATGTAAGGACTTCACACTTAAGCATTAGTCACACGTGAATGGTTTCGTGCCTGAATTAAGGAAACATATTCATTTGCTATTGGGCCACTTCCACTCTTCTACTTTGAACGCTCTCACGTCTTCTACTGCCTGACTATTCACTGCAGCAACAGCGAAAGAGCCAACGAACACTTGCTAAAGGCAGCAGTTGTGGCTGATAATGGAATAAAGGGTCCCACAACTATAATACAGATGAGCAAGAGGAGGCCATAAGGCCCACAGAGCCTGCTCCACCACTCCATGAGGTCACACTGACCACTTAACTTGTCTTTATTTCTTGGCAGCCTCTTTGCATCCTCTTCTTACTTTCATAGATTATATCCGGCCCTCATCTATATTATTGATATAGATCATTAATAACTAAGGCCCAAGAATTTGTCCTTTGGCACGGCACTCTATTAGCTACACTTTGTCATCTTGAAAACGGTCTATTTATTTCTTCTGTTTTCTACTGACTAGTCAGTCAACGCTAGTATATTACCTGAAATTTTAAGAATCATAATCATGAACAGCAAGCTTTTCAAATGCTTTCTGAAAACCACATATATTATGTTTACTGGTTCTCCTGGATCTGCTCTGCTGGTTACGTCCTCTAATAAGGAAATTGTGTTTGACAAGCCTATGACAGAATCCAGACTAACTTGACCTTATGATCTGTGGATCATATATTTATTTCAGGTTCTGAAGCTGAACGTTAAGGGGGATATGGAAGATCTTAATCAGCTGTTACTCTTGTTACTATTGCTTTGTTTCAAGAAAGTCAATGCTCTGAATAGATTTTGACAATTAGGCTTAATTATAACAAGATCCATTTTAAAATATTCTTGAAGTACTAGACTTGCTAGAAATGTCACCATTTGCATTCATCACAGTGCTACAAAGTTGAAGCTCCAATGCACCTTTAGAAATTGCTGTTGTTATCATTTCATGGTGTACAAATAAGAATTGAAACCAAGTTCATTTATGGTAACAATTTATTGGGGGATGAACTGCACCTGTTTTGGTAGTAGAATTGGATGCAAAACATAGCAGTTTTGGAATGGGAATGCATGTGTCTAATATGGGAATGTATGTGTCTAATATATGAATGCATTAATTTCGCTGCTAAATGTTCACAGGCCACTTTTACACTCTTCAGTCAGAGGTAGAAACAACAATGACATTGTCAATGATGAAATTACTGATTTAAGAACAGACCCCCTTTCACGAATTAGTCATGACAGGAGTAGACAAGACATTGGGCCTACCTTGCTGAAAATTGTTCAGCAGTTTTGCAACAACCAACAAATGCTATGTTTCCAGAAAGTTTCCCTCCCCCGCCTCCAAAAATTCACTTTCTCATGGAACCAGAAAGTGCGGGATTGTTCCCTGAATCCACAGGAGTTATAATCAACATCCTCCTTCTCCCTTTACAAACAACTCTCAGAACTTAACTGAGGTCACTACCACCAAGGTAGATGTTCCAAAATACGTTCCTCCCTTGGGGCAAGCTGCCTGTGCACGAAGCTTAATGAGTTGCAGATTAGGCCTGAAGAGCAATTTCTCCCTAGCTTTGCATCTCCTGTTTTTCCCTTTGGATGGGGGTTGGGAATGAAGAAAGAGAGCAAGAGAGCAAGAAGTGTTGTCTCTAAAATGCCAAATCCAGGATCAACAATCAGCTTCCACTGGTTTTTAATCCATCATCTCCATTCCAATCATGTTGTACAAATACTGTATATTAGTTATAGCTACTTTAATATACAACTCAGATTTGGGGCATTCTGCTAATGATCCAAACTAAATTAAAAGTGAGCTAAGAAAACTCTTCCTCTACACCAATTTTTGCAGTATAATAACAAAAATAAAGCATTTTGCATTTCATTGCTGAACTTAATTTTATGAAGTAGAAGTGAAATTGTGGCCTGATGAAAGCAGCTGGTATTACCTTCATTTGTGCTCTCAGCCAATAAGGATCTATTCAAGTGCACTGAAGCAGGAGGAACATGCATTGTTGAAAAAGCTAGCAAAATATGATACAATTTCTTGTTATCACACTGAGTGGTGCATCAAGTTCAATTGTAATATTGTAATGAAAGAAAGAAACTCATTTCAAATAAAACCAAATATAGGAAGCATGTTTACACCATTAATCCAGAGTAGGATGTTAATATTTCAGCTTTCAGAACTGCAGAATACCTAAGATTTTATATTTTATTTGCAATAAAGTAAACTCAAATATCAAATCTCAATATTGCTTTTAATTCTATGTATGATATTTAATTTCTCAGATAAAAATAATCAGAATTTTGCAAACTATCAAAGGTGTTCTAAACCAGTTGAGAAATTAAATTTGCTCTATTAGACACAAATGGTACAAGTATTAAAGAATGTGTCACATATTAAATGATGTAGGATTGGAAACTCAATGAAGTTGTGGAAGATTTCATCTCATGGTGTTGCTATTGTAAAGCGAGACTGCAGCTAACTTCAATGTAGTGTCACTGCAGTGTCTTAAAACAGAACCAGCATACTAATAAGATGCATGAAACAGGACAAATGCATGTTGGCTTTGCATTTCAACAACCATGCTGACTAGGGCTTCCATGAACATTTGAAATTATTGAGAAATAAATATCATGATAATTCTGATTCACCATTTGATACGAGTTTTGAGAATCCCCCATTAATTTTCTTGCTTGTTGCTCACTGCAAACTTCAGGAGATTAACCATTAATTTCTGCAGACTTCAGGACAATCTGGGAGGGTTCAAAACCTGTTGTAAGGTCCAACAACATACTAAACAAATCAGATTCAATTTTCAAATTGTTCATTAGAGATAAGGTTATTGTAATCTAGATAAATATGGTCAACATAATAATGATTCAATCCCATTGATAGATTTTTAAAAAATTGTCTGCTCATTTTTGGAATTAGATATTTTAAATTGAAATGTAAGTGCGTTGATCAAACACTTTCAATTCCAAAATTCCAGACTGTCAAATTAAAATTCAATAAAGATTGCACACAGCCAACTCAACTGAAAACAGGGAAAGCTCAAATTCAGAAAAAAATAACTAAGCATTTCAGTTTGGAGTGTGCACACCAGAATGTTCCATAATTCCATCCATCCTCCCATAAAGCTGATCTAATACATGATGAGAGTTCCACATCTGAAATTCTGTAAGAAGGAACTAAGTCCTTGTGAGAGAAATATATCGCTAGAAAATATAGCAAACAAAATGTGGTGTTATTACACAGTACTGACATGGACTAATACAGAATGTTGAGGTATAGGTCTTATGCTCCCTCTTGTGCTCCTGGTAGGAACATGACATTACAGTTTTATAACTCCTGTGATGATGTTCTGGTCTGGAAAGCATCACCAATCATATTAAATTTTTTCAACATGAAAGAAGCTTTGTCACAGAATACACCATCAATTAATCCACTAATCAGTTTGGTTTCAGTAACATAACTGATTCAAAAACAATATTAAAAAAAATCAGATTTGCGCTCCCCTAAGGACGTTTAAGTTATTATATTGCTAAAAATGCTTAGAAATCTAATCTGCAGTGAACAATTTTTGCAAGTTAGATCCAAATAAGTAAAGTATTTATAGAGATACGTCCCTCCATAGACTGAAAACAGAATAGCCATTACTCCAGAAGAGATCAAGGAACTGTGTTGAGAAGATGGATATTGCTTCTGGAGAAATCCAAAATGAATAACTTATAAATTAAGGTGGCATGTGTTTACCCAGATGTAATAAAACTTGCGCATTGTTCTTTACAACTCTAACAAAGAAACTGATTTATTAAAAGACTAGTTGTGTGCAATTACGTGATTTTCCAGATGGGTCTGAGCACAGATCAGCTTTGTTTTGACAAATAAGACATCAAATATATCAACATGAAAGACAAATCAAATGTGTGAGAGTCTAGAATCCAAACCAAATAAGTATTGCTGATTAAGAACACAGTAGCATATAACCTGCAAACATTATTGGACTCTCTGCAGTACTATGGACATATATTAATATGCAAAATCCTGAAATAGCTGTTACTGCTTTTTTTTAAGCTTCTGAGTAATAGCACAAGGATAATTTGGATAGAAAAGTTGCATAAGGAACTCTTCAAACAGTGGTGAGAAACACAATTACCCATGATTTGTCACCTCTTCATCCATGAGAACACAAAAATCTGAATGCAACTGTTTCCTTCAGGAGAAAATATTCATTTATATGATGTTGCTAACTTATTGTAATTCAAATTTTTGTCAATTTCCATAATTTAGCAAGAATTCAAAATGTATGTTACTCCAGGAATGAATTATCAAAAGTTTTCATCTTCAGCATTGAAACAGCAATGAATGACTGTGCTATCAGACTAGCGAAAATGCTTGTCAAGGAGGAAAGAATCCTCTATTTCCCACAAAGAATCTGGTGCAGCTGAGACGTGTCCGAATGCAAAATCATGCAATTTAGTTTTGGGAAAAAGCAGACACTACAGTAAATTAGTGGGCAGGAGGTAATATTTTATAAATGTGTACTCTGTACATCCATCACAGCTGTAAGGGGACCACACAATGATCTAGATGTTAGATTATTTTTATCTTCCTATCACAACATGTCACGTACCCAAGAGGAACTGGTGGGCTCTTACACATTGCACATAGTTCTATTCACTCTTTGATACAAGGTGGCCTCAACAAGCTTGCAGGGATTTGGTTGCATTGCTAAACATGAAATACACAAGATCTTTATGGAGTGACATCTTTGGGGAATGCTGATGCACCACCTACTGGCACTATGGCATATATGCAACACACGTAGTTGACCTCAGATTACTTCAATCACATACTCACTCATGTGCTTCTTAGAACACAACATCTGTAAATACAGGCATACGCTAAGTCTCTACTGTCAGCTGTTATCCTCAAATTTTCATTCTTTCTACATATACAGTAGTAGGCAAGGCATTTAGTGTATGTAGTATAAGACCATAAGACACAGGAGCAGAAATTAGGCCATTCGGCCCATCGGGTCTGCACTAGCATTCCATCATGGCTGATATGCTTCTGAACCCTATTCTCCCACGTTCTCCCCACAACCCTTGATCCCCTATCCATCTCTGTCATAAATAGACTCAATGACCTGGCTTCCATAGCCTTCCATAGATTCACCACTCTGGATGAAGAAATTTCTCCTTATCTCCGTTCTAAAGGGACTTCACTTTATTCTAAGGCTGTGCCTCTAAGGGCCCTAGTCTCTCCTACCAATGGAAACGTTTTCTCAACGTCTACTCTGTCCAGGCCGTTCAGTATTCTGTAAGTTTCAATTAGATCCTCCCTCGTCCTTTTAAATTCTGAAGAGTATAGACCTAGAGTCCTCAAATGTTCCTCATGTGTTAAGCCTTTCATTCCTTGAAATGTGAATACTGCATACAAATGTTATTTGCAATAAGCATAAGTTGCCAAAAAAAATTTTATTTATTAAAGTGAGAAACACCGATAAAACCATTCATGCTCAGCAACTAGGAATGTTGAGATCAGAGCTTTTTCCTTCGACACCTAAATATAAATATTTTCAATAATATTTAATAAGAGATGCATTTTTACTGTAATTTTCCACTCTGGGATGAAAGCTCTGAATGATAAAAGCAGTACTTACTGTCATCTTCAACTCTCTGTTCCATTTACTAGCTGTTTCCACACTTGCTCCCCCATACTGTACATCAAGTCTATTACTTAATGTTCACTCAATGTTTATAGTCCTTTTTCTTAAAAATCAAAGCATTAAAGAAGAGTGTAAAGTAGGAATCCTATTTATGTTAAAAAATGTGAACATCTATAATGCATGCCAGTTGCTGACTGATCACAGTGCTTGACCTCCAGTGAGGGAAGGCTACATACAAGATACTATGTCCAGGGGAAAACAATGATACTCTTTGAGTGTTGCTTCATGTACCATAACGTTCACACTCACTAATGTGATAATGCAGTGGACAATAATGACATGTCTGAAATACCCTAATAAATGAATATAACTGGTAGATGAAATAAAATTATTAAGTTTCTAACAGGCTAAATTAAAGAAATGAGTAGAAATAAAGCCAAAACACAAATTTCTGACAGGTGAATGGCACAGCCTCAGAGTGAAGGGACAGCTGAGATGAGGAGGAATTTCTTCAGCCATAGGGTGATGAATCTGTAGAACCCATGGCCTCCACAGCCTTCTGTGGGCAAAGTTATTCAATATATTTAATCAGAAATAGATAGTTTCTGGATTGGTAAGGAGATCAAGGGGTACAGGGAGAAAGGAAGGGAATGGAGTTGAGAAACATTTTAGCCATAATCAAATGGCGGAGCGGACACGATAGGCCAAATGGCCTAATTCTGCTCCTCTGCCTTATGATCAAAGAAATAAGCAGGTCTGTACAGCCAGATTTTCAATCACTCAAAATTCATCCACTGAACGGTTATAAATTGGGCCGCTGGCATCATCTATTATCTAACAATAGAAAGAACTACAAAAGCTGTAAATAAGAAACAAAAACAGAAATTGCTGGAAAAGTTGAGCAGGTCTGGCAGCATCTGTGGAAAGAAATCAGAGTAAACATTTTGGGTCGAGTGACCCTTCCTCAGAACAGTTCTTAGCAATTTCTGTTTTTGTTATCATCTATTATCTGTTGGAAGCATTTTACAAATATTTTTTCCCCTTGTGAAGCAGACTGCTCAGGCTTGACATCATCAGTACCAAAACCAAATCTTTTTACTGGCATGCCATATATATTTGTATTGCATATTTTAGTGTCAAGGAACATGTAGCTTTAGGCACTGAAACACTTAAGCTAAGCAATATACTAGCTATGCAAATAGCCTCACTATTGAGGAATCATAAGCAATGATTCAACCAGTGGCATTATTTCTATTTGCCAACACTGTTCTTCCATTCCATGATACCACTATCAAAATTCTGGTTACTCTCACTTACCTAATCCAGTAATTTCATATTGCTTCACTTTTCTTCTAAGTCGTATTGGTCCTTTTGTCCAGTGTTCATCTCTATTTGTTTCATTTAATTCTTTGCTCAAATCTTCTACATCTGTTTTTCTGTAATAAAGCTTGTAACCCTGGATCTGGACTTGATTAGATGGTGGCTGCCATGTGACCAGCAGAGAGTCTACTTTTGCCTTCACCTTCATTTCTGTTGGAGCAAAGGGAACTAGAGCAAAGAAGAACAGGTCACTGTTACAATTACTTAAACTATTATCGGATAATGTTCTAGCCTCTCTGAACAGGACATCATCCAAAATCAAGTTCTATTAACCCATCACCCAGTGCTGACTGACCTACAATGATTCAGGTTAAACCACACATTAATTATAAAGTCTTGTTATTGTTTTCAATCCAATCGATGGTCTCAGGCTATCCCATCTCTGTCATCTCCTCCAGCCTTATCTACAGCCCTAAGATATTGGTGGTCCTCCAATTCTGGGCTTAAGCATTTCCAATTTAATTGTTTCAATTTTGGTGGCCATGCCTTCAGCTATCAAGGACCCAGTCTCTTTAATTCCTTCCCTAAATCTGTATGTTATGTATGACTACTGTAATATACAATTTAAAACCTGACTCTGTGACCAAATTTTTGATTTTCAGCCCTAGTATAATGTTGCTTGGTGCAAAATTTTGTTTGACAATACTTTTCAAGTGCTTTAGAGTATTTTATTATGTTAATGGGGCTGTATAAATGCAAGTTGTTGCTGTTATAAGTGACAGGATATATATGGTTTTATTCTGAAATTTCTAATGAGAAATTGTGATGAAAGGCATCTGATTTACATATACTATCATGTTTAGGGTTGTAGAGATGTTGGTCACTTTTGTGAATGTTTAAAAATAACCAAGTGAATCAGTCTTTCTGGACCATGAATCAATTCATTGTGTGTCAGACAGCAGAGAACCCCGGACTGTTAATAGGAAATGGTTTGTATTATGTTGAGTTTACGATAGGGAATGCAAACATCGAGGGCCATTATTTTTCGTAATCAAGGATTAATTTTTGACTTAGGAAACCTAGACATTTAACCTTGAGTAACTTACTGATCAGGAATGATTAATTGGAAACCCACAGATTATTAAAAGACTGAGAAAGTATAAGCTTTCAGTCTTGCGATCGTTCATGTGAGATGACATCATAGTTGACAGCAAACTATTGAGAAGAATCAGTTGAGTTAAAGATTTGAGATAGAGGGCCACTTTCTTTGGATGTGAAATTGTAAAATGATTGTGTTGGGAAATAGATTAGATTATTTTTATTCATTCATGAGATATGGGCCTACATTTGTTATGCATCCCCAGCTGCCGTAGAAAAGGTGGTGGTGAGCTGCTTTCTTGAACTGCTGAAGTCTGTTTCTTAAGATCTTTCAAACTGTGTTCTTTATTAAAATAGCTTGGTTTGTTTATTTTGTGTAGCTAACTTCTGTTCTATTGTCAAAAGAAAATATGCAACATTGTGTGCTTCCGTTTCAGTAAATGATCACTATGTTAAAATACAAAGAAAGATCTATCGCGCCAGGTTTCATTCTGGGATATGACTTGTGCAGTAATAATATCAGCAGCTATCATAACAATATGATTAATGAATGCACCGATAGGTAGTATGTGCCAATTTCTAATTAACAAGATGCCACGTACAATGTACTTTAAACAGTAATGGATAGTACACTTATTCTGTGGTTGACAATAAAGAACAACTTTACACCAGTTATGCTGTGAGAAATAAACAATGGAAAATATAAACACACTGCTTAAAAAAAAAATCACCTTTGAATCAATCTGCTAATCTAAAAAGAAATCATTCTTACCCATTATTAGCTTATTTCGTTCAGGGATTAGGTGCCGGGTCCATTCTGATGGTGCACCATATCCTATAGTGGTGCTTGCTGCAATCCGAACTTTGTACATTTTCTTTGATTGTACAATAGGAAGCATAACTTGTGTCTCATTTCCATCAACTTCGATTGAATAAATTTGATCTGTTACACAAACAGAGGTAAATCCTATTAACTGTGGATGAATAAAAATAGAAAGTCTGAATTTGCAACTTAGGCTCAAGAGTTTTACAAACTAGAATTCTTCACATTTCCATATATATATTGCATATGTATATTTCTGCAACTAAGAACTGAACTAAGAAAATAAATTAATTTGCACCACAAATTAAGCATTCTGTTCCTGAAGGGTTAAATATCAGGTCCAGGAGTTTGGATAATGTTTACATGGAAAACTGAATATTCCATATAATTTTTTTTCTTGTTCATCCTTGTTCACCCAAACATGTTCATCATCTGATGTATATGGTAGCGTTCCAGCAGGCGACTGTCAGACATTTCTGTTGAGAATAGGACAGGATACTGCAAATCAATGAGTTTGGATAAATGTTAACTTGGCATTTCCTCTCCTTGTGTTTTCTCACACCTTCAAGGGTTTTCTTTTTTATTTGTTTTCGTCAGGTACTGTGGTCCTGGACGGGTTTCCCTCAGTGACTTGAATACTGACTTGAAGTCAATATCAGGGAGGCTGTGGAGTGCTCATATCACTAGACCAATAATGCAGAACTATGTTCTGTATTAAAATAGTTTGCTTTGTTTATTTTGTGTAACAAACCTCTATCTATTGTCAATGTAAATCTGCAAACTTCTATGCTCTGGGCACATGAATTTGAATCCCACCGTGTTAGCTGATGAAACTTGAATTCATTAAATGAAACTGGAATAAAAAGCTGACCTAATGATAACTATGTAACCCCGATCAGTGTTGATCGTCATAAAGCCTGTCCTTTATTAGTTATTAATGTCCTTTAGAGAAAAGGTTTAGAAATCTTCCATCCTAACCTGACTCCAGACCCATGACAATGTTGATTCTTAACTGCCCTCTGGCAATTAGGGCTGGCAATAAACTTTGGCCCTACCATCAATGCCTTCATCCCCAAGAACAAATAATTTTTAACAATCAATTTCTTAAAAGTAGAGCCTTCAGCGTGTCCTTGTACCATTTACTTTGACCACCATAAAACACACTAAAGTCTCAAGCTCTCCACAGAAGATTCATTTGGTAAGCAAGCATAAGGCATTCTGGCTCAATGACGAGACCAATTCAGTTGTGTCTGTCTCAATGTAGTGTGGATGCTTGGCAAGCAGCCTCAGGTGAGCACCTCAGTGTCTGATAATTTGTAAAAACCGAAAGAACTGCAGACGCTGTAAATCAGAAACAAAACCAGAAACTGCGAGAAAAGCTCAGCAGATCTGACAGAAGCTGTGGAGAGAAATCAGACGTCACATTTCAGGTTCAGCAACCATTTCTCAGAACCGATGGTAGCTAGAGCGAATAAAATAAAAAGTGAATTGGTCTCGTCATTGAGCTGGAATGCCTCATGCTTGCTTAACAAATCCATGCTGACTCTCCCTGATTATTCAGTGTCTCTCCAGGTGCAGATATATTCTGTATGACAGAATTCTTTCTGATAACCTCCCCACCGGATAGGTTGATCTGACTGGTCTATAACTTCCTGGTTTCTCTCTTCCTCCCTATTTTGCAATGTAAAGACATTTATTGGGCAAAAATAAATTGTTGTCAGTAAATGTGAAGGAGCCAAGTGTCTTTGTGGTTACTGCTCAACCGCTAAATTGTCAGAAACACAATTCTTATCTCAATATGATTGCTGCTTTTAGGATTTAGCATCTAGTACATCTACCACACAAGGTGAAGTTTAGCATCTTATCTGCTTGAGCTAACAATGATACAAGTGTAGAATTCTAGCTCACACTGTAAAAGTAGCCAACTATGCAACTACATCTTGGTGTAATGGAACGGACAACTTGGCAAGGCAATCCTGAACTAAACATCAAATAACTTATGATGTTAATACTGAAAAGTTATGCATTGGTTTATCAAAGTTCACATTCTGAAAAGATCACTAAAGTATCTCCATTACAATTCTAAAAGCTCTAAATACCCTGTTCCCTCTATAAGTTAATATTAAATATGGCTGTCAGGTTCACTGTCCAACTCATCCTGCAAGGTAAAATGATATGTAGATCATGTAAATTGTAAAACAGCTTTTACGCCATATGCTTTAATTATTGTAATGAAGTTACATTAACAGAATATGTTTGCTCCTTTCTAGACCAGCATTTATTACAAATCCCTGGTTGCCTTTAAAAAGGTGGTGCTGAGGTGCTTTCTTGAACTGCTGCACTTCATTAGTGTAGGTAGATCCATAATGGCTTTAGGGAGGATGTTCCAATATTTTGACCCAGCATCAGCATTATAGTTCCAAGCCAGCACGGTGTGACAGAAACTTGTAGGTGGTGGTACTCCCATGTGATCTGCTACCCTTGACAGTGTAGTTGATACAGTTTGTAGGTTTAGAAGATGCAGTCAAAGGAGCCTTGTTAAGTTGTTGTACTGCATCTTTTAGATGGTACACTGCTGCTACTGTGCTAGTGGTGCAGAGAGCAAATATTGAACATCCAACCAAGTAGGCTGTATTGTCTTGTATCATGTCAAGTTTCTTGACTGTGTTGACTGTACCCATCAGGCCACTGACTTGTGCCTTTTAGATTGTGCACAGGTTTTCAGGAGTCAGGAGGTGGATTACTCACCACAGAATTCCTAGCTTCTCATTTGTTCTCTTAGCCACATTGTTTATATGGTTGGCCTAGTTTAGCTTTTGGTCAATGGTAACCCCTAGGATGTTAACAGCGGGGATGGATTAATAGTCAAAAAGTCCATAGCTAAAATAGCTAAAAGTCAAGATCCAATAGTCAGTTTCTCTCTTTTTAGTGATGGTCACTGACTGTCACTTAGGTGGCATGAATGTTACTTCCCTAACAGGTTTCCTTGGCCATGTTTGACTTGATTTGATGGTACTTGGGATATTTTGTCCATTTAGTGGGTAGAAGAAACGCAGCACATCCTGCTTGGTGTTGTCACACATTAGTTGGGAAACCACGTTATGAATCTATCAGTGTATCAACTGATGTGAAGAGGGGATCTACCCAAAACCTGCAGCATAATTCAAATATTAGTGTCGAGATTCTCCAAGTAAGTTTCAATGCACTTCAACATAGTGGGCAGCACAGTTCAAAGTCCAGATGACGCTCACAATTGTTTTTATCATGTTCTCAGTATTTTGCCTTAATCAGTGAGAGTAATGTTGTAATCCCTAGAAGGGAATGCAGAATTAAACTAGCAACACAGAGCAGTCAAAACAAGATAATTAGTTTAGTAGCATAGAACTGAAGGGATAAGAAATGAAGCTAATTAAACAAAAAAAAAAAAATCACTCTGGGATTGCATTGTTATCGTGCACCCAAGCTTATAATCTGGGGGCCTGAATTAATAACTTGAAAACACAATTTCAAATCCTGCCATGGTAGCTGGGGAATTTATAATCAATTAATCTGAAACTAAAAAATGGAATTCGTAATTGTAACTGTGAAAGCACAGAACTGTAGTTAAAAACTCATCTAGTTCACTAATTGCTCTTTCAGCAAGGAAATCTGCCACTTTATTCAGACTGGCCTATACATGACTTCAAAACCATGCTGAACTTCGTTTCACTGGCACATGCTGGCGTTCAAGTAACAAGGATTATGTCACCAAATTCTACTGTAACATAGCTATGTGACGAAAAGTCTTCACTTGTATGCATTATTGGGAGAAGTTGTGAATTTTGGGATTTGTTACTTAGTCGTAATGTTGGCCTCTTTTAAGTGCCAAATACTATGATATAGCATTAAGACATAAACTGAAGTTATGATTAGGAGGGTGGTCAGGTCACCAGGTGTTTCAGGGCCTTCCACCAAAATCTAGAAGTCATTGTTAGCAGTTGGAAGGGATGTCAAGACTCTAAAGCTGATTGGCTAGATTGTTGTGGTGAAGCTACAAATGTTCTTCACATTGGTTAAGCGTTGCAAATACTCGGTTAGAATTTGTTAGTTGTGCTAACAAAGCTGCATATAGCTGGAATAGGTGTTGCAAAACTAACTGCAAAAAGAATATACAAATAACGGTACATCACTGAGGGACTGTCATTTGCCAAGTGATAGCATTTGTCACAGGATGCCTGGGATACAGCTGTTGGGGCAGAGTGTTAGGAATGGTCACTTGTTAGAAAGTTAGCATTTGTTCTGGATACTGGCAGTTGACAGGGTTTAGGGCTCATTGTAAGAATCAAGTTAAGTAATTATCAGATTGTGGAATAATGAAGAATTTAGCAATTGGGGTATGGTAATTAGTAAGTAATCAAAATAAACACTTTATGTTTTCAAACAGAATGTGTGTGACAGAATTCTGACAAGTCAATCAAGGAAGCACTACATACCTTCTTTCAACGTGCAGTAATCAACGCGATATTTTGTTATTTTACCATTGCTGAGCTCTGGAGAAAGAGGAAGCCAGGATGCCCGTATATTAGACAAGGTGGGAATCGATAAGGACAACTGAGGAGCAGTACTTGGGACTGTTGACAAATTCAAAGAAAGTGTAATGACAATTAGAATATCAGGCTTTAAGGCATACATTCACAGAATATATTCAAAGTCAAAGTCAAAGACTAAATAAACAGTTTCCACATTCACTTCAGTATAGTTGAATACATCAAAGCCAGTCCTCAGGGCAATGGTACGACCTCTCCAGGTACAGGCAAAGGAAACCTCAACACCTAAGAGATCATTTAACAGAAGTCCACAATACACACCAATGAATGGCAGTTTGGAATAAGTAAATGGATAATATGCTAAGTTTATTCATATTCCTTCAAATAGTCTATTAAATAGGCTTGGGTTCCCTCTCAAAATCTGGGTCAGTCCTGAATTATCAGTAAATAAAGGCACACATATAATGGACCAATTCATCACCACTTCTCCTTTCATCTGCATGATTCTGTACTTACGTAACCATGCTGCATTTTAGTAATCTGAGGAAGTAGTCCTTATTTGAAGGGAGAGGCCTACATATTCCAAGTAAGTGCCTTATTATAGTTTGGATACAGGTAATTTTTATACATGAACCTTTTAACACCCTGACAGGATCACAACATTGGATATGATAAATGTTGATTATTTTAAGAAGAACAACTTAAATACATCACCCGTAGTCCTTACCATCTTCCATAGTTTGCACAATCACAGAACGAGAGGTCCGACTGGCACCAAGTTGGGAGTAAGCAACAACATAAAAGGTATAATTAGTGTTTGGTTGCAAGTCTTTTACTTGAAGGTCTGTAGTGTCATTATTCACTGCAAACTGGTATTCAACATTGTTTGTACCTGCAGGAAAAAGACCATGTAGCCAGGGATTGCACTGATCAATGAGGAACAGCAAATACTATAACACAAATGAACTATACTACTGAATTGCATTTGAACTACTCGAGGGTCAGTTTGTAATTTGATTTAGCATGAACCTGTGAAATACATGAACCTTACAGTAAATTGTTAAATACACTGAACAGAAATAGGAAGGGATGTGGATGAAACATTTCATTCATCAAAATGACATTTTTTTTAAGCATATCTACCATGTTGATGATTGACTCTATTTAAATATTACATGTGAACCTAACGATGTTTTAATTTTCCAAAAAAAGTCTTTTTTTTTCCATTATTTCTTTTTACTTCTCCCAACATCCTTACATCTAAAAAATTCAACCAGTTGCTCTATTGTATTAAGTTACCACACATGATCAGGGCTTTTAGATCCGCATAAATATAGCCAATATCGTAACTGTTAGCTTTATCATTCCTATAGCACTATGTGCTCTGAATTCCATGACAGTTAAAATAAACACAATTACTACTACTATAATTGATAGATATTGTTTATTGTTAACTACACACAAGATAGCTTCTTGACATGAATAGCCCATTGCAGTAAGTACGCTTCTATTCCATTGTTTAACAGGTATATTTTGCAGAATGTGTGAACGTTTGTTATACAAAGCAGTGTTTATTTGGACAAAACAATATATCTATTGAAGCACTTTATTCTTCAAACATGGCTCTCTTTTCTTCTGCCATCCAAGAATATCCTTTTAGCATTACAAACTGGCACTTGTAGCAATCTAACAGCAGAGCTAACTAACAAAGAGCACCCTATGCCTGATAATCTACCTGCAAGCTTAATGTAACCTTTAAAATGCCCCAGAAGAACAATAATCTAAGAACTAGTTCGCTAGTTTCAGAAAAGTTAATTCTATAACTTGACTGTTTTATGCACAGATCAAACACCAAACAAATTTTGAGCACTTACCTACTGCCTTTTGATAGTGAAGGGAAAATCCAATAATCTGTTCACTGTTGTGTTCTGGGCGCTCCCAGGACACCAAGATCGAAGTACTTGATAAAGGTGTAGCAGACACGCTTTTGGGAGCACTCGGCAAACCCTCTCGAATTGTCACAGCAAGTTTGGCTGTAGTGCATGCCATTCCAAGACTATTCTCTGCAATACACTGGTAGTAAGCAGCATCCTCCAGCCCAATTTGATTAATCACTAAACTGCCACTGTTCTGGATCTTCACGCGTCCATTAGGCATTATGTCCTCTCCGTTTTTCAGCCAGCGAATTCTAGGAGTGGGTTCACCATCAGATTTACAGGCAAATCTAGCAGTGCTTGCTCGAATGCGAGAGATTGTCTCAGGAAATTGTGTAATCATTGGTGGGGCTGAAAAAAATGAATGGAATTTCATAAACTTCTTCCAAACACTGGAGTTAGAAATGTTACCGTTCCATCCTAGATTCACAAAGTAATCTTTCTTTCTAAAGTTTCCAATGTCAAAATGGCAGCACTAACTCAAATGTTCATTTATGTATAGAACTCTTGAAGAAGATGGGGAACATAAGTGGTTAAAAAACATGATTGTATTTTTCAGTAACATGTTTTACAATTTTTAAAACACTAAAGTTTCAAAATAGGCTTCATCTAACAGAATGGGAACTTATTAGAATGGATTGTAAAATTAAATTTAAATAACAGCTTTCTTTAGCACATAATGAGTATATTTATGTACATCAACTCACATGTATTCGACATTGGGCTAATATGGTTTTCATATTTCATACAACTGAAATTAAATTGTTCTTTACATAATAACATAGAAATGCAAACACAAACAAACCCAGCACTCGTAACTTGGCAGCAGCAGTGACAAATTGTCGCGTCCGGGGTTTATTTGCACGGCAGACATATACGCCAGAATGATATTGCTGTGCATGTGCAATCATAAGGTTTGCCCTTCCAACTATGATGACATCTGTAGCAACAGGTTTACCATCTACACAAAAAAATTGTAGTAGGTCAGTTACTGAGAAAGCAGTTTATTCAACAGCTTGTTGGAATAAGCTATTGCAATAGACAACAACAATCAATCGCTAATTCCAAATATCTGACATCATACAAGATTACATGAGGTATTAAAACCAGTCAGTGCATTTAAAGTTTTGATATGTTCAGCCAGAAATTATGACAAAAAGTATTAGAGGGCTGAGAAAAGCTCCCTTCTCCCAGGTGGCAACTGACAGCATGAAACAAATTTTTTCTTTCCCCCCACCATAACCACAAAAAGAAAAATTCATCTATCATGATCATACTCAAATCACCACCTCATGTCATCAAATAGTTACATACTACGAATAAAATTAAATTACTTTTGGACTGTATAACTGTTACTCAGGCAGTGAAAAATATTGCTGAAAATCACTGCAACATTCCAATAATTCTCCAATAAGCATCACATTTTTTAATCTTTAGGACACAAACTTCATAATGGAAGTATTTGAAAAGATAGCTGGCCAAGGAAATACAGAATTCCACAGACTTGACTGCAATCTCACGATAACCAAATGGTATCGGCCTCTACTTCATTCATGTCAATTGTAAGAAGGCAATTATTTACTGGACATAAAATTTGCATTTGCATCCATGTTTTGTGTGTAATTAAATAATACATAAAAATAGGATGCAGAGTTGTCTTGTTGCATTTACTCTAGTGAGCACCAATATCTTCAAAACAGTTGTATTTAAGCATCATTCTTTACAAAACAGATGGCGTATACCTTTTAACTGGCAGATTCTAAAAATATCACCTGTCAGCAAGCAATAAATAACTTTATTTTTCTGGGCACAATTTTTAGGGAGAAGTACACAGTTATCAGCAGCTATGCAATATCAGACATGATTTTACAAATCAGGAACTCAGCTGACAAGACTGTTTGCAGAGTCAGGTTAATTTTCAATGTCTTGACTTTTGACTGGCTGGACGAAGGCTGTGTAACTGGCCTTTGACCAAATAAACAAATTAATAAAATGTTTCTCCCTGGATGGGTGCACAGAGTAATGTACTAGTGTTGAGGTAATCAGTATTAAACAGTACATAATTTAAGCCACTGGAGGTCTCAAATGAGCACTATAAATCCCCCAGTAAAGGCAAAAAGTGAGAACTCTATTCTTGTAAATCATTAAACCTTTTCTGCACTTTATATTTGTAACTGAAAAGATTATCTTCTCAATCTTGTTTTAGCTGCATATTATTCCAAGTGCCATTTTTATCATAGTAAAAGTTTTGCTACCGTATTGTTTATTCTGTACTTGATTTGGAACACAATCATAAATGTTTTTGATTCCCTGAAAGCATGTTAATAATTGCGGGAACATTTTGTGAATGTCAGGATTTGAATGGTCAAGAATACCTAACGTGTTTGAAAAATCAGTGTTGCAGAGAATAACCTGGAGTATGAACATTATGGATTAAGAGAGCTACACACAGCAATTTATAGTTCTATTCAGAGTATAGCATGTAACACTAAAAGGCTATAGCTTTAGTAAGAATAAGCAAAGCCCTGCGGCAAGGTGATGTGTATCACAGCTTCTCAAAAAAATTGAACATGCTGATATAAGGTCTGCAGAAAACTCTATGCCAATCTTTGAATGAAGCTGTTCTCCATGTGCTGGAAAATTCAAATTAAGATTATAATGTTTTCTGTTAACAAATCACTCAACTCATCTCAACTTTGCTCAATGATAATAAAGTCACAGATATGCCTTTTGCAGCATATTGTTCTTTGCCAACAAAGTGCTTCATAATCCGCTACCTATTTTCTCTTGTCTGCTGCCCCATTATTTCTGAAGGATTCTAAAATAATTTTTAAACAACCTGTTTGGACATGTTGGAACACAATGCCGGTGCAGGTGGGACTTGAACCTGGACCTTTTAGCCCAGAGGTAGGGATATCACCAGTATACCACAAAAAGACCCCTCTTAGAGACTTTATGCTGACTTTCTCTATCCCATTAAATAGATATTTTTAATCATCCCTATAACTTGTTCAGACATGTTATGACAAACCTTTGGAGCAGGTGGGACTTGAACTTATTGCCTTGTGGTAGGGACACTTCCATTGCCGCACAAAACCTCCAACCCATTAAGCATCATTTACTTAAAAGGACCCATCTATGCAACTAAAAAGTCTTACCTTATTTGTTAAAAACCAAAAGAATTGCAGATACTGTATATCAGGAACAAAGACAGAAGTTACTGGAAAAGTTCATCAGGTCTGGCAGCATCTGTGAAGAAAAATCAGCGTTAACGTTTCGGGTCTGGTGACTTTTCCTCAGTTCTGAAACGTTAAGTCTGATTTTTCTTCACAGATGCTGCCAGACCGGCTGAGCTTTTCCAGCAACTTGTTTTTGTTCCTGATTTGTTTAAATTAAATACATACAAATGGGGGATGATTGTTTGAGCGTATTAAAGAAATTACCATTTAAGGGCTTGTCAACTTGTTAATTTGTTATTTTGATTAGTGTTTGCTTTAAAGAATATAATGAGACACTCGCCCTTTAAGGAATTTCTAATTAATTAATTTGATCATTTGTTTTTCGTTTGCTCCTTTAAGGTGATTTCCTCAAAATTGTATAAAGAGATACTTATTGAAATTGGTGAGATGAGTAAGTTAGGAGTTCTTCACTCATCATGCTTCGCTCTGAATTAATCAATTTTGATTTAAGATTGTCTTCTGATCTCCCACTTCCATGAAGTTTGGTTTCTGATCTCTTACTTTAACTGACTGTTGGAAGTCAGTAACACTCCATAACAAACAGATCTGTAGGTCATACCTAGTGTGCAATCTGAGCATAACAGTGCACTGTTTGAATATGCGAGATTTTACAAAGCCATTCTGATTTAGTCACGCCTCCTTATCCACGAGGGATCCGTTCCCGAGAATCCCCGAGTGCGAAGCTCGTTTAAAATAGATTTAAAATCATGGATACGCAATTTCTTTCCTGCAGATGTCGATTTTTGTTGGTACTTATTTTTTGGCATGATAGGCAAATTCACAATTCGTGATTTCGTGGAAACAGAGGACACAGTTTCTCTAGCAATTTCTGTAATTATTACAGTACATTGATCTGAATGAATCAGCACATCTGTCTAATATTTTGTAAACCTGATGGGCTGGGGGTAGGAATAGAGAAGATAAAGAAAATTTTTAACTAGAATGGGAATGATACTTAAAGGAAAATGATAAGCTATGGAAACCAGAGGCGTTGAGATATGAATGGTGTATGTACCGCTCAATGTCACAACCAGCTGTACTGCTCTAATCTTAAACATAGCTGTCATTAAGTAAGGCCTCAACCTGCTTCACAAATTGACTTTATTTCTGTTGTATTTTTAATTTCAACTCACCCTCACGAATCCAGGAAACAAATGGTGTTGGATCAGCATATGCTAAGCACTCCATAATGGCAGTTTGACCAGCAATAACAGTTACATTCTTTGGGTGGGCAATGATGACTACATCTGTAGGGACAGATTTAAATCCTAAAATAAAAAGATAGTTGGATTCATCAAAAAGACCAACAAAAGAATTCCAAATTATCTTTTAGGTAAAACAAATTAAGAACTTAATTAATTGATATAGATACAATGATCTACCTTTTTCAAATATCTGTAAAAATGCATACATTTCCTCTCCCAAAACCTCCATCAAAAGTTATTATATTGTGCATCATTGCATACATCAACATTTTTAAACCTGCTCAGCATTCTTACGAGTGCTTGCAGATTTTTAAATCCCCTTGTGTTATCACTTATCACGTCTGTTCTCCCAAACGCCACTTGCAAATGCCTCAATTTGCCTTAGAACACAAAAACCATTAATGCATTTTTTAAATTTATGGTCTGTATCTCTACAAGCATCAATTACATGAAATATTTCACAGGTACCACAAAACCTTTCCCCAAAGTCAATTAAGCTGCAATTCCCATTGTCTGTCAAACTGGAAAATTGCCATTTTTCTGCTGTTAAACATTGGATCAGTACTAGCACTTTGCATAAATATGGCTTTCTGAAGGACTAAAGTTTAGCTCTTGAGAAAATCCATTAGCTCTCACTGATTGTTCCTGCTATTCTCTGGAACCCAACACTACAGCAAAATGCACGCCCAGATTGCCTCCTCCTTCCTCAGGAGAAAAAACAACAAAACTTTTTTTTCATTCTGCAAAGGGATGATCAGGTATTACTTCTGTGCAGCACAATTATTCTTTCCAAATAATTCCTTGAAGACCACTTTCCTTTAAGCATCCACAACTTTAGAAGTGCGTATTCTCACATAAGCTATCAGCATTGTATACCTCACATCCATTGATCTATGTACACATATATATTTGATGTAAAACTACTATAACATGACAAGTTCACTTTCCAAAATAAATAAACTTCAACCTGATAAATGCCGTTTTCTATATAAAGATCATTGCAGATATAACAAAATTTTCAGTACCAACAGATAAATAGGAAAAGGTCTACTGGTCCATCCAGTTTGCCCATTACAACCATGAAATTTGTGCAAGGATGGGGGTTAGGGGAGCTTGTTTGAACAGTGGATTATGTTAGCGGATTAGCAAGCAAGGCTACAATGCTTAGGTAGGAAACGGTTTACAATGTCATCTAGCATGGGAGCCCAGAATAGACAGTGCATGATAGGTTTAGCGGAAACAAGGCAGAAATAGCAGTGAGGCTCATAGAATCATACAATCATAGAATCTAAAGGCCCTTCAGCCTGAACCAGCAAAAACTACTCTAAATCTATGCTGGTCCCACATTCCAGCACTTGGCTCATTGCCTTGAATGTTGTGACATTTCAAATGCTATTCCAGTACTTTAAAAAGGGTGAGGCTTCCTGCTTCAATTACCCTCCCAGGCAGTGCATTCTAGATTCCTACCACCTTCTGGATGAAAATCTTTCTTCCATTCCCCTCAAAATGCTCCCTTGTTATTGATCCTAAGGGGAACAGCTACTTTCCATCCACCCTGTCAATGCCCCTCAATCAAGTCCCCTTTCAGTCTTCTCTGCTCCAAAGAAAACAACCTGAGCCTATCATGGCTAGACTGCTATATCCAAGGTAGCATCACATCCCTTGCAGTGACCAGAATGGCATACAGTTCTCCAGCTTTCTATAGCTCCAATGTAACTTTCCTGCTCTTATATTTTATATAACCTATTTTTCTAATCAACCTATTCAGAGATGTTATTCCACACCTCTGGAGCAGGTGGGACTTGAACTGGTCAGGGTCCAGGGTCGGGTCCAGGGGTAGGGAAATTACCAATCCACCACAACAGGGTCACCCTGCTCTTATAATCTATGCCATGACTGCTAAAGGCAAGTGTTCTGCATAACTTTTTAACTACCCTGGTAACCTGACCTGCCGACTTCAGGGATCTGTGGACAAGCAGCTCAAGGTCCCTCTGTTCTTCTGAGCTTCCTAGTGTCTTGCCATTCATGGAGTACTAGCTTGTCTTGTTACTTCTTCCAAAGTGCATCACTCACACTTTTCAGGGTTAAATTCTATCTGCCACAGATCTGCTCATCTGACCAGTCTATCTGCATCCTCCTGTAACCTAATACCTTCCTCCCCCGTCAACCACCCAGCCAATCTTGACGTCATTCACAGACTTACATATCATCCGCCCCCGACAACATTTTCTTCTAAATCATTTGTATATACTTCTATATCTATTTCTATATTTGGATATTTCTATATCATTTATGTACATCACAAACAATCGTTGGATAAAATGAACTCAGAAGAGGCAAGAGGTGGATATAAGCAGCAGGGGCAATACGTTTCAGCTGATGATTTGCTGTGGATAAATTAAGTATATCCTTCCAGGATATACTTAGTACACTTTTATTAGAGGAAAGCAAGGCCCATTGGTGTTTCATATGTTCCAGTCAGATTTGACAATCAACTGTTTAACAAGGTGTGCACCATGAATATTTGTATCTGTATCTCTGGGATCTAATGAGTGAAAAAAAAACACTAATGGCTGAATCTTATGTTGTTTTTGTGAAATGCAAATTGCACAGGTTTTTAGAAGGGATTTCCACAGTGAAGCCTAGTGATACTTCACATTGTACCAAATGCAACTCATTAATTACGTATCACATCCTTATGGTGCCCCTCACATCCAATTCCAGTCCCATTTTACACATGCTGTTCCCAGACAAGTCACCACTCACTGGATATCCACCTAAAGACTGGAATTCCTTGCAGCTTTAAAAGGTTGCTGTGCACTGGCATTTCTGAAGCTGCCCTGCTTAGTCAAGGAAATTTCCAGAAGATGTTAGAAAAGGGGAAGATGGCACCATGAATCTCCGACAGAGATGTGGAGGATCTGGTTGGGAAGGTGGTGTAAAAAGGAGTCTTTACATGATGCTGGAGTCAGAGATAACACAGGGTGGAGCTGGAGGAACACAGCATGCTAGGCAGCATCAGAGGAGCAGGAAAGCTGACGTTTCAGGTCAGGACCCAAGGACTGGCAGAGATGACAGAGATGACAGCACAGCCACACCATAACAGACATGTCCTAGGTCGCCGCACTGGTTTGTGCTGTCTCCATAGTCTGGATGATCAGCGGTGCAATAAGGAGGTCAGTAACCTCCTCTGTGCGACAGACACTTCTCTCTGGAACCTCACATTCAATCTATTTCTGCTACTGTAGCCATCTCCTACCAATGCTCACTTTCTGACACTCTATTACCTGCAATATCTTTACTTGCCTGCTCACACCTTGGCCAGCCTCCTAAACTACTAACTGTGCGTGCCCTTTTCGCAGCCTATTCTCCTGCTCAGGACAGCTCATCACCACCAAGCCCACTTGCACCAGCACTGACAGCTATGCCACCCACTTTCATCTCACTCAAATTCTTCCCTTTCTCTCAATATAGAGGAAAATAGCTCACAGCAGGCAAGAAAGAGCCTGTATGGGTAGAGGGATGTTCGACACTCGCAAAGACAATCACGATCACTCCTGCAGTAAACATTTATGTCCCACCAACCAAACCCATTTCATTTCACTACAACTCTCACAGTGATCCTGTTAGTGTCATTCATTGCACACCACTTCTAACCACAACTACGGCGCCTCTCTCTCTTGCATGTGCTGTCAGCATCTCTACCACAACCTCAATGAAATGGTCAGTTCCTCCAGAAGCCAATTCTTTGCCCTCTGATGATGGTACTGAGGTCTCAGAAGAACGGTAGCCTTAGAAAATATGTGATCACACCCTGGTGATGCCTAACAGATCTACAGATGCCTAAGATAAAACTGGCCAGGCTGCTGGCACTCGAAGGACTGCCAGAGACCAAACACCTACTCAGCTCCAGGCAGGAAAGCCCACACACAATTGCACCTGATTGCTCCAGCCAGTGGTCCTCAGAACTGAAAGCATGGCAACTGAGGGTGGGGAATCCAACACGAATTCTAAGTGCCCCTTCATCACAAACAGACAGGGCAAGGTCAGGAGGCACCCATTCAGAGGACAAAGAACACATGACACCACACCAGCAGTCCCCACTCCCCACGGCTCCATAGAGGAGCTGGGGTCTCCACCTCTGCACTGCCAGCCCCTCTCCGAACCTTAAAATTTCATGCAAAGGAGAATCGAGTTGCCTCTGGCAAGGTAATATTTAGCATGTCTGGCTCGACCACACACAAACATGCCTGGGGTCACCCAACCAAACTTCTAAGGCCAACAGGCTCCATTGTAGAGAAGGCTCTCTCCACCCCAGATTTGGGACTACACAAAGACATAGCGAGAGGAAGAGGATGAAGAAAAATTATTGAGCACACTATGGTGATACAAGCGACAATACTTTGTATATTATTTGATGCTTTTTCTGTAAATGTCACTACTTTAACTTTACTTTACATTCGGTTGGCTGTGTCTCTCTGCTCCTGAATGTAACCAATCCAGCATGACACATAACTTCATAGCCACGCAGAATGTAACATGGCTCGATGTCTGTGTTGAGATGCTGTTGCAGCATCTGAAAACAAGTAGCATAGGACGTAAGTAGGCCAATGGGAACTAATGACAACGCACTGCCTCTTGTTAGTTCTACTGGCCCTTGTCCCACAATGTCCCTATTCTTTCTCTGGCCTCTGTGTCTAAAATTGTTGGTGTTAATGAGTTGGTTAGCGATGGCTAGGACAGGAACAAACAGAGCAAACAGGAGGTTAATGTATGAGGATAGCCAGGGATTAGGGACGCCTGCAAAGTCTGTGTAATGTACAGTGTATGGGTCTGTGTGTAATCTTGTTTCCTTTTAAACACCCTCAGGTCAGTGGGCTTTTCTTGTCCCCTCACTCATAGATCAAGATACTTATCCCACCCACTCAGAGGGTGGTCACAGCAATTTTCTTCAAACTTTTGATTTGCAGTATGATGGTAGGTCGACACTCCTTGACCAGTGGTTTCAAACCTCCACTTCTACATGTCAAACAGCTTCCAAACATCCAAATCCCTGTCCTTCC